TTGCTCCAAGTAGCTAAGTAGATTTCGGGTGGATCCGTCTCTTTGAGCTGAGTCAAGACCGGGCACAACACTGATGAGCTCAGTTCCAGTCGGGCGAAACGGTCTTACGGTGTTTGAATCACTTCAATCTCGCTAGCAAGCACTACTAGTTGATGTGAGTAGTAACCAACTCCTCATATCTGTCAGTCAGTAGTATATACTGTCATTTAAAGTCACTAGTTTGACAGAGATTCACTTTAGGGTATCAGCTAGTTTGCGAGGAGTCGCATGTGTGGGGATAGCATTGAGTGTTAGGGCAGAAAAACCACTTCTTGACTGGATTTCAGTTGATAGTCGTATGTGTGCGGTCCGTCTGAAAGGGTCCTTTAAAAGAAGCAAGGACGACACTACCCGTCGTTGCCTTTTCGTATTCTACACTTACGCCCCTAAAGACTGCAGTTCGCATGAAATAAAGGATGACTTTTACCTGAAACTGTCTAACTTGCTGCAAAAAGCAAAACGCTCAGATATAGTTGTTTTAGCGGGCAACTTCAATGCCCAAGTAGGGAAGTTGTGCCAGACTGAGAAGTATATAGGTGGTACGTATGCAGTTCCCTGCCAACGAACCGACAACAGTGATCGTCTTCTACAGTTCTGTTCAGATAATTATCTGTCCCTAGACAGCACTAACTGTAGGCACAAAGAGGGACATTGCCTAACCTGGCACCTCCATCATCAAATCAGCGCTGTACTCAGATAGACCACATAACGATAGGGTATCGTTGGCAGGAGTCGGTAGAAGACTGTCGCTCCTTTTGGAACACCTGTGTAGAATCCGATCACACTCTGGCCCGCGCACGTTTATGCTTACGACTAAACGGATGTAAAAAAATTGATGGCAGCGAAACAGTTACGTCCCCAACAAGATCGAGAGTCTGAGCTCCTATTTAAGGAAGAAATAGCGAAACGAGTGTCTGAGGTCGACAGCAGGACTTCCCCTAAGGTAGCCTGGCACAACATACAGTTAGCTGTAGACACAGCTGTGAAAACTGTTAATAAGCTGAAACCAAAAGTTAGTAAGAGACAGTGGATTTCTACCACCTCATCCGAACTGACTGACGCAAGAAGACTGATTCCGGCGATCTCAGATTAGGATGAGGAGCGAAAGCTACTCAAACGCAAACTAACAAGAAGTCTTCGAAACGACCGTGAACAGTGGTGGGCGACAAAAGCGAAAGAGATGGAAAAGGCATTGGCGATCGGTAACACCACACAACTCTTTAGGCTTATCAGGGAAATAGGTGGTATGAGGCAAATGATAAATGAAACAATCTCTGAGAAAAATGGCACCGTAATTAGCTCCCCGGGTAGACGACTGGAAAGAACACTATGAGGAGCAATTCAATTAGTCTACAGCCACACTCAACTTATCGAACATCCAACACCTGCCTGAGTGGGATATATACACAGGTCTTCCATCCCTAACTAAGGTTACTAGGGCTGTCACTAGTCTGGGACGAGGCAAAGCAGGAGGATGCGATGGAATGACTCCAGAGGTATTTAAGTACCGGTGCAAATAAGATATTAGGTAGCGTCTGGGAGTCACAGGAAGTCCCGTTGGGCTGGTGTGATTCATTGATTATCCCCATATACAAGAAAAAAGATAGGTCTTTCTGTGATAATCACAGGGAGATTAGCTTGACTTATATGGTATCTAAAATTCTAGACTCAATATTGCGTAGACTAAGTGGTGCTCAGCGGGCACAAACACGAGTGAACCAGGCAGGCTTTAGACTAGGAAGAGGGTGTATTGATCATACCTTCACGCTTCGAGAGATTTTGGAACACAGGTGTAATACTTCCCGGCCTCCAATTAAAGCCATATTTCTTCACCTGAAAGCGAAATTCGATTCTGTCGACCGAGAAGTACTCTGGCAATGTTGGGCTGTGAAGAGGATGACGAGAAAATACAAAGCACTCTACTCGAACTCATTCAGTCAGCTAGGTAAGAGCTTACGGAGACTTGTCATCTGAAGTGGTGACGACTAGTGGTGTCCGTCAGGGATGCCCACTATCTCCGTTTCTATTCAACTTCATCATAGATGTACTAATGGAATTAACCCTAACTCACTTCAGCAACTCACGGATTGACTTGATACCAGGGAATAATCTAGTCGACTTAGGATATGCAGACGATATAGTCCTTCTAGGCGAGAACGCTGACAAAATTCAGTCTTCTCAACACCTCGAGTTGTAATCTACGAATGTTTGGCATCCGATTCGCTCCCGCCAAATGTAAAATGATGCTACAGGACTAGCCTGGAATACACTGACTCCTAGCTTAGAAATAGGGAGTGAATCGTTAGAGCACGTTGACCGCTTCACTTATTTGGGAAGTTGCATCAGCCAGCGCCAACGGGTTGATCACTAACGAAATGTCAGCACGGATACAGAGGGCTAGTTTCGCATCTTCTAGTTTACGCTGTCTCTGGCGTATACGTGATATCCAGTTGGCTATCGACCAAAGGGCGGGTGTACTGCTCAGCAGTTCTCTCCGTCTTCCTACAGGGCTGGCTGTGAGACCTGGTCACTGAGAATGGAGGACATGAAAAGCCCAGCCAGCTGTCTTTGATCATAGGTACCTGCCTTCTATCTCCCGTGTGAAGTGGTATAATAAGGTGAGCAATACTGAGGTAAGGCGTTGGTTGAGATCTAGGTAACTAGGGGAAATCAATCAACGAGGCTAAGAAATTGCATCGACTGAGATAGTTAGGACATGTGTTACGTATGCCTAGTCATCGCCTTCCTCGACCGATGGGGAATGTCAGCTGACATAGAATGGATCAGGCTGAGAAACAGCCAGTGGTGGTCAAATCAAAACATGGCTTCATCAGTCAGTGAAATCCACAACAGTTAGTTTGAGCCACGTAGGAAAGTGTAGACTTCCTGGCTGGCTGGGGTCCTCAGGACGGTAAAAACGTTCTAGTTGCGGAAAGAGCTGCTTTAATTGATCTGCTAGAGTTATCAGGTGATTTGACAGTTACGGATTTAGGATAGATATTCTGTTGCAGACAACGGAGATTGAAAATACGATGGTTGTACCAATTACACATTTTCTTTGTTAGTTTAATACGATTGCAAAATAATTCATACGAACTGTGATCAAGATTTGACCGGATAGTTGCAAAATAATTGAGCGCTGAGTGAGAAGTAGACATTTATAAAGTTATATTTGTAAAATCTCAGCGAAATTAATTCCAACGTTAAAAAAATAAGATATGTCCCTTTATAATATAAACTTTGTTATGTTAATTTCGATTAATTTCCCTGAAGAAGTTCGGACCAGATTGCCGAACGAAACGTTGGAATTAATCATTTCAATTTCGCTGAGATTTTACAAATATAACTTTATAAATGTCTACTTCTCACCCAGCTCGCAATTATTTTGCAACTATCCGGTCAAATTTTGATCACATTTCGTATGAATTTGTGAAATCACATTCCAATAAGTGATGCTACGGTGTATGCATAGCAACAAACTTGATGGATTTGCATGATTTAATTAGTTCATAATAGCAAATCAGTTACTTCTTCAGTTGTTGTGGTAATGCCTATAATTGAATTCCTATCCGAAATCTGGAAATCTCGATATTATTGGGATAGCTTCGGATTAAGTAAATTAGTAATTAAGAAATGACAGTTATGGCTTTTGAAGCAACTGCTTATGACACAGATCCTAATGAGAGCAACACACAAATATATACAGCCGATTAGTTGTCAATAAACGTCAACAATTATCACAAATTGCAATGATAACTACTATTAAACATTCCATAGTACTAGTATGTTTAAGAAATGTAGTCTTCAAAAGTGTAGGGAAAAAATGAGGATACTTCATATCAACGCTAAGACCACAAATAAATGTAACAATAACGTAGTAAATAAAATACCCTGCCTTTATTAGTATAAAACCGCTAAATAGGTTTCACACATGTAACTCTAGGACAATAGTGACACTAACTTATAAACACCTAAATCATTCTACACAAAAACGATCATTCAAGGCAAGCTATCCGAAGTCTACATACACATAAGCAGGTTATAGGACAAAAGTGAATAGGCCTAATCAATTATTTGATAACATCTATGTAAAACCACTTGAGTCACTAATAATATAAAAAATGATAATAAATTTCAAGACGGATGATGTTTGCCTTTATTATGTTAGGAACCTAACAAGAAGAAAAACACGAGGAATTAACACAGCAAATTTTGAACAGTAACTTAACCGATATGGTTTATAGTCAAAAGTTTCATCACAAATATTTCATCTCGTGTGTACATAATTAATATGGCATGAGACATAAACAAGATCAGTATTAGTACAATAGGCGAATAGGTGAATTCCATAATCTTAATATTACATAAGGGGTGATTTATGTTGATGATGCAAAAAGCATGACAAACCTGGTTGGTATACAGAAACAAAAGTATCAACTATGTAACAGCTTCACAGGTCATTATCAAAAAGGAAGAAATATTTTAGAAAATTTAGCAACAGAACAAATTCAAATGTATGTACATGCACACAGAAAACTAGTATGGAACAACGAAAGACTCAGTAGCAAATGAATTCAACGGTGACAAAAATATAAGAGATTATTATGAAAGAATATGTGCGGTAATACATAGCAAAAAACTGTACAGAAAAAAAACTTGAAACCAAACTTTTCAGTCCCTAAAATGATAGATCTAAACAAAAAGGTAAATGTCAGTCTACATATATATATATATATATATATATATATATATATATATATATATATATATATATATATATTGGTATAAGAGAATGGAAGCTTAAGAACATTGCACACCAGGTAACTTGAATTAAGAGAACAGTTAAATCGAAAGTAGTAACAATAAATGCTCGAGAGAAAAGCGTTTACAGTGTTTGACAAACAGAAATCACAGAGAAGTCATCTTTCACAGACGCGGAGAATATATTGATCACTAGAAAGCTACAGAAATGTAGAGTGAAGTGAAACAAAGGGTCCACAAGGACTTTCCGAACCTTGACTTTGTCGAGGACACTGGTACTCTTCGTGCATAGTACCATCTGAAGGACAAATCAGAAATGAACGGGACTCTGGAGATGGGCTTTCATTATCGGCACAATTTGGAAGAGACCGGTTTCGGAAAAGAGTTAAGAATGGAGGTCTGTGACGTTCTCGAATTGCTTGACTGCGATGAAGAACTTTTTTGGTAGTTTTGTTAGATAATGAGTCACTTCCACATGTCTCGACAAAAGTCTAAAAATTATTTTTGAAAAAATACAAAAATTAAATGGAGTAGGTTTTTAATAGATTAAATATAAATAATTATAGTTTGGAAAAGATGCAGGACATCCTAACATTGCCTATCCATTTGTTGACTACTTTTACATCATCTGTAATGAAATACCTCTAACTATTTATTGTAGCCTCGAGGAAATAAGTTTCTTCAAAACATATTACAGGGTGAAGTCGAAATAAAGAGTTCGCACATATTGTTGTGTTATTTAAACCCCAATTAAAGGTATGCTAATTTTAAAATTTGTACATGATAGAAATAACAGAAATGTTTTTGAAAAATTCCATTCTCAAACTAACCTTTCTGCTGTCAGAACCATTTATATTCAGTGAATTTTGAATTGTATTATTTGTTTCCTCACTATCTATAGGTACAAGAGTTATGCGATCCTCTTCGTCTGCACCGCCATGAACTTCTGGATTCAGATTTTGAAATAATTTACTCTCATTTTCAGAAATATTTAACTGTAATTTTGAAGGGGATAACGGATTCTGCGGTAGGTTTGAGTTTATTGGTGACGAAGATGTAGACCGCAGTATGAAACTAGAATAGTCTAATTGGTATGTATTACCATACTGATCCAGGTCTGACTCAGATTCAGAATTTGGATCATCATTGAGAAATGGTTCATGGATAATTGAATACGCACAAGAGTTAGAAAAAGGATAGTCATTATCTGAACGTTTTAAAGAATTTGTTCGAGATGTTTGACTAGAATAAGAAGAATAACAAAATTTAGATTCCGCAGCTGGTTCATAAACAGTCCGGTTTAGAAAGCCGTCTTGAGTAGCCTAAAAAATATGAAGTATAGTTGAAAAGTTTTTAGTGACTTAGCTATTGTGCTAAGAGTAAATACAATACACTGCTTATATACATAAAACTAAAATACATTCGTGTCATCAAGTTTAGCTTCAAAGATGAAATAATAATAAATAAATAAAATAAACGCAATAATAATGCGATTATCTTTGCTTGTGATGAATATACTGCTTTCACACATTAACCGCTGTATACTGATAACAATGTAGAAAGGTTGTAGTTATTATTACTGTTATTATTTCCTTTAATTCCTACAGGAACATAGGGCTTCAGCCGCGCATCTCCATTGCGTTCGGTTTTCTGCCCACATGCTTTCATCTCCTCTTCACATGACCTCCTCCAAGTCACCCCACCCTGTCACTGACGACCAACTCGCCGCTTCCCTTTCGGGTTCCACTCGAGCTATGGCTTGTCTAGTGATGTCACTTGATGGTTTCCTCAGAGTTTGGCCAATCCATCTCCATTTCTTCCTGCCTATTTGTTGCACAATCGGTTCCTGGTTGGTTCGCTCCCAGAGATCCCTGTTGCTGATCTTTTCTGGCTGGCTATCTGATCTTGAGTAGTATTGAGCGAAGACAACTGTTAATGAAGGTCTGTAGTTTGTTTGAGATGCTCTTTATGACTCGCCAAGTCTCTGATCCGTATAGTAGCACTGACTGACTTCACATTGGAGTTGAAAATCCGGATAATATTTTTGATGCTGAGTGTTGTTGACCTTCACAGAAAGGCTGTAGTAGTTTCTCGGAAATTTTGCAATAATTATTATCGAACTTCCAAAACGAGTTATACAAACACTTCGAACATGATTTAATGAGTAGGACTTAGATTTACTGAAGATAATAAAGATAAGAACACGACGCAATATCATAATACGTTTGGTATACTAGAATAAGTAAGATACAATAAAGAGACTTCCACATGTAGACCAAGGAAGGTGGAATACACTTTTAACCCAGAATCTTTGGATAGTTTAATGAAACACATGACATCCACCAATGCCGAAAGAATGCAGCCATTGAATACACTGCTAACTTTGCATGGGAACACGTAACTGAACCAAAAATACGCCTGCTTATCACCTGAATAGCTAGACATTTGTACCTCACACACACCTTCGTATTTTAATCATAATTTCACAACTTCATTGCGTGTGACACAGACTGGGAAGGTAAATATAAGAAATTGCTCGCATACCTCACTTTCAACTGTCAAGTTTAACGGCCAGGTAGAAGCTTACGGAGAGTTGTCATCTGAAGTGGTGACGACTAGTGGTGTCCGTCAGGGATGCCCACTATCTCCGTTTCTATTCAATTTCATCATAGATGTACTAATGGAATTAACCCTAACTCACTTCAGCAACTCACGGATTGACTTGATACCAGGGAATAATCTAGTCGACTTAGGATATGCAGACGATATAGTCCTTCTAGGCGAGAACGCTGACAAAATTCAGTCTTCTCAACACCTCGAGTTGTAATCTACGAATGTTTGGCATCCGATTCGCTCCCGCCAAATGTAAAATGATGCTACAGGACTAGCCTGGAATACACTGACTCCTAGCTTAGAAATAGGGAGTGAATCGTTAGAGCACGTTGACCGCTTCACTTATTTGGGAAGTTGCATCAGCCAGCGCCAACGGGTTGATCACTAACGAAATGTCAGCACGGATACAGAGGGCTAGTTTCGCATCTTCTAGTTTACGCTGTCTCTGGCGTATACGTGATATCCGGTTGGCTATCGACCAAAGGGCGTGTGCACGCTCAACCTTCCGAACATCTAACATCTCCCTGAATGGGATATAGACACAGGTCCTACGTCCCTAACTGAGGTTACTAAAGCTGTCACCAATCTGAAACAAGGCAAAGCAGCAGGACCTAATGGAATCACTACAGAGGTATTCAAGTACGGTGGAGACAGTTTACTGTCTGCATTAACTGAGGTACTAGGCAGCGTCTGGGAATCAGAAGAAGTACCATCGGGTTGGTGTTAATCACTGATTATCCCCATATACAAGAAGGGAGACAAGTCTTCCTGTGATAATCACAGAGTGATTAGCTTGACTAATATAGTATCTAAAGTCTTAGGCTCAATAATCATGCGTAGATTGAGTGGCGCTCGGGAGGCACAAACACGAGAGAACCAGGCAGGCTTTAGACCAGGAAGAGGGTGTATTGATCATATCTTCACCCTCCGACAGATTCTAGAACATAGTCATTCCTACCGGCGTCCAACAGTCATTATATTTCTTGACCTAAAGGCAGCATTCGACTCTGTCGATCGAGAAGTTCTCTGGGGATGCTTGGCTGTAAAGGGAATCCCGAGAAAATATATTGCACTGATTAAGGCACTCTACTCGTACTCACACAGCCAGGTGAGGGCTTACGGCGAGTTGTCATCTGAACTGGCGACAACTAGTGGTGTCAATCAAGGATGCCCTTTATCGCCTTTTCTATTCAACTTCATCATAGATGTGTTAATGGACGATGTAGTCCTACTAGGCGAGGACACTGGAGAAATGCAGTCTTCTAAACACCTTGAGCCGCAATCTACGAATGTTTGGCACGCGATTCGCTCCCGCCAAATGCAAGATGATGTTACAGGACTGGACTACAGTGACGCCTAGTTTAAAAATAGGAAGTGAAGTGGTAGAGCACGTAGGCCACTTCACTTATTTGAGAAGTACCATCAACCAACGCCAACGGGTTGATCTCTGAAGAAATCTCAGCACGGATACAGAGGGCTAGCTTCGTATATGCCAGTTTACGCCGACTCTGGCGTAGACGAGATGGTCGACTATCGACCAAAAGGCGGGTGTACTGCTCATCAGTCCGCTCCGTACTCCTTTATGGTTGTGAGACCTGGCCACAGAGAGTGGAAGACATGAAAATATTAGCTGTCTTTGATCATAGGTGCCTGCGTTCTATTTCCCGTGTAAAGTGGCATAATAAGGTGAGCAATATTGAGGTTAGGCGTTGGTTGAGTTCTAGGTAGACTGGGGAAATCAATCGACGAGGTCGTGAAGTTACAAAGACTGAGATGGTTAGGACATGTGTTACGTATGCCTAGTCATCGCCTTCCTCGACGAGCAATCTTAGCGGATATAGGGTCAGGCTGGAAAAACACTAGTGGCGGTCAAACAAAAACTTGGCACCAGTCAATGAAATCCACAACAGTTGGTCTAAGCCACGTAGGAAGGTGTAGACTTCCTGGCTGGTTGGGGTCCTCGGGACGGTAAAAACCAATGGTTGGAAACAATTGGTGACATGGCTCAAAATCGTTCTCAATGCATAGCGCAGATGCATTCACTCCTTGTGACTTATGATCTCCAATGAAACTGTTTTGTTCTTCGTTATTACTCCTTTGTCTCCCACCTCTGCTTACTGTCTCTATTATGCTTTTCTTGGACTTTCTTCTCTTGCTTCGCGTGCTACACGGAGTGAGGCGACTTGAACTTCCGCACATTTGTGCAAAGTTCTATGTCGAAGACAGACAGTACTGCTCAGCAGTCTGCTCCGTCCCCCCTTTATGGCTGTGAGGCATGGCCATTGAGAGTGGAAGACGTGAAAAGAGTTTTCGGTATTCGGGTATTCTATTAGTAGCACATGTAGTATAGAAATCTTCCAAAATTTAACTATATATCTGATCTGTATTGTCAAGAGAAATGATTACTCAAACGGTTTTCATTTGATGCGCATTACTAGATTATTTACTTGAATATTTAAGAAGTTCGCATACTCCTGCTTAAATGTTAACATTTGAAACCAAAAGAATAAAAATTTTAAAAAGGTCAGAAAGAGAAAATCAGTTTGGAACCGAATAGACTGCATATACACCATGAAAGATTATCTGATCTAAAAACTAACCAGTGTAAAACAAACAAACAAACAGAATACGTGTTTATAAAACCGAAAAGTGCAAAATTATTCATTCACCCACCAATGATTGAAAATAAAAATAAAAAGGAGAGATAATACCAACAGGAAATTTATCAGAAAAAACAAACAAACAAATCCCTAGTGAGAAATACACACCATAAATAAAAGTTCACAAATAATCATCTCACAAAAATAATCATGTTCACCCACAAAATACACATACGTAAATTCACTACTGTTCAGTCTTTAAGACGAATTTATAAAATTTTCTATAGTTTGGTTTGTAAAGGTTTGTTATGTTTTTACGAGTTGATCACTGATTGATATCAGTTAGAGAACTATTGAAAACGAGGGATTAATGGACAGCTGCTGTTTCATCCTAGTTTGGGAATCATCGCCAGTACGCACCCACTGTGATTCGAACCCATGACCTTCCGGTTACAAGGCTAGCTCGTACACCATTCAGCCACTGGGACCCGATTCAATGGCTTGTGAATTCTAACTTTTACCAATTCGTGATTTAGCGCGACCCCAACCATTGTCGTTGGTGGGACATCCATCCACACACGTGACATCTAATTGGACCTCACTGGTCACGACTTCTCACTAGAACTCAGGAAACATACACATTGGGTCATAGGAGTAAATAAGAAGACAATTGCAGCGAAGAAAATTTTCTTTTCGACGAAGTCATCATCTAGGCTGTACATTCCTGTATTTATATCAAATGGATAGGAAAGTTCCAGAATAATATCCGGTCAAGGGTCAAATTAATAAGAATTACAATTAGGAATTAGAATGCTATAATAAACAGGGGGATGGATACAACAAACAAAGTAGCATCATAATAACTAAGAAGATTGACATTGTGCAATTAGGGGTTAGAAATGTAGAAATAACAAAATAGACAGGATGTTTGGATAAAAACTAATGTGATGAATAATTGTTTATGCAATCAGGGATTAAATATGTAGAAATAGTAAAATGACAAAATAAACACTAAGTTCGGGTATGAAAATATGGTAGTGTAAATAGGGATTAAGAAAAACTTAAAATAACATGAATAAACAAGAAGTTTAGATAAGAAGGGAGATGGGATGGTGATTACTAAAAATTACCTGTTTATGATGTCCATGGCAAGGACAGGGGTTGGACGTATTTCTTTTGTATACAAAGCGTGGGTTTGAGCTTTTGTATAGCTAGCACCTCGGCTATGCCCGCCCAGATGTCTTGATTTTACTCCCTTTGATAGGTTTGATCGAATCTTGTACATGATTTTGAAGGATTTTTCGAGTGGCGCTGAATGTCCTGAATTAACCAGATGTTCTGTGACGAAAACGGGTAAATAGTTCGGCGAAAGAACATCTGGTTAATTCAGGAAATTCAGCGCCACTCGAAAAATCCTTCAAAATCATGTACAAGATTCGATCAAACCTATCAAAGGGAGTAAAATCAAGACATCTGGGCGGGCATAGCCGAGGTGCTAGCTATACAAAAGCTCAAACCCACGCTTTGTATACAAAAGAAATACGTCCAACCCCTGTCCTTGCCATGGACATCATAAACAGGTAATTTTTAGTAATCACCATCCCATCTCCCTTCTTATCTAAACTTCTTGTTTATTCATGTTATTTTAAGTTTTTCTTAATCCCTATTTACACTACCATATTTTCATACCCGAACTTAGTGTTTATTTTGTCATTTTACTATTTCTACATATTTAATCCCTGATTGCATAAACAATTATTCATCACATTAGTTTTTATCCAAACATCCTGTCTATTTTGTTATTTCTACATTTCTAACCCCTAATTGCACAATGTCAATCTTCTTAGTTATTATGATGCTACTTTGTTTGTTGTATCCATCCCCCTGTTTATTATAGCATTCTAATTCCTAATTGTAATTCTTATTAATTTGACCCTTGACCGGATATTATTCTGGAACTTTCCTATCCATTTGATATAAATACAGGAATGTACAGCCTAGATGATGACTTCGTCGAAAAGAAAATTTTCTTCGCTGCAATTGTCTTCTTATTAACTCAGGAAACTCCAACCTGTAGCAAGTCACTAGCGAGCATCAGATTAATTTTCTATAGTTTGGTTTGTAAAGGTTTGTTATGTTTTTATGAGTTGCTCACGGATTGATATCAGTGTGTGCGTACTGCCGATGGTTCCCAAACTAGGATGAAACAGCAACTGCCCAGTACTCCCTGAATTTATAAAAAAAATAAACACAATATATTGTTTTTGCACATGTACACTCTTATAAAATTCACTCACTTTTAAATAAGCATCACGTGATACACCAACAGGATTCATTGACACAGAAGAATGATAATACTGGCTGTCAGGTGAAGATATACAAACACCAGAAGACTCAGGTACTGACATCACACTCGGTTGATATTCTGATGAAAATTTTCGAGAAGAGATGAATGAATTAGACGGAGAAGACAGATTATTATTATCTAATGTTTTAGTATGATCTAATGACCATTTATGTGTTAAATGTGAAGAAGTTAATATATGCGGCAGTATTGTTCGACTATTGTTACTGGTTAGTTCAACATTTTTATTTTGTATATTTTGACAACAGTCAATGCAAACGGAAAGATGTGAGCAACGAAATGCACAATTCAATTTACCTGTGGATTTATTCTTCTCGCACAATTCCTTTTGATTACAACAATGTACCGTTTCATTGGATGAATTACCATAAATAAGGTGATTCGAATTATTATTATTATAATTAGTATCACTATTCTTTTTATATTCACTGAAGTGAGCAAGCCGTTGTTTCCCGTCATCACAATGTGTTTTACACGTAGTATGATTATTATCTGCAGGTAAATCTTCATGTTTGTAGGTGAAGTAACTCTCCTTCTTGTCGTTTGAAATTAACTTATGCTGCTCCGAAAAAACAGAAATATCAGAATTATTAACCTCCATAAATGTTCGATTTACGTTCGGTCGTCTTCCACTTCCTGCTAACATGCCCAAAAAAGGCGAGTGAGGATCCTGTGCACATCAGAATGGAAAAAGGAAAGGAAATAAAATAGTTATAATATTTATACACAACATAGTAAATAATAGCGGAAGCATTACTGACTTATTGGGGTAAAGGTTTTGAAGACAAGCTTCAAGATAGCCTGACTGGTAATCTTATAAAAACAACGAAGAGTGATCATTTTATTTCAGTGGAGGTCTTAAGAAGAGAAGAAAGAAAATTGATTGATCGAAAGGACAGGAAGATTATACCCAATTACAGATAGTCTTTATTCGAGGCTACAAAGAGGTATTCGTTATTGGCTCGGATAAAGCATCCATAAAAAATCATTTCGAGCCTATTAATGTTTATGAGATGGAAGGGAAGAGAAACGTTGGAAGAATCGAAAGACTAATCGAAATACAATAAAGCACAACGAACAGATGTTACAACGACAGGCATGAAGAGGAATATAGAAGGAGGAAAGTGAAAAAAAAGAGTTGTAGGCACTTAGAAAAATAAGAAGTTCGGGGAAACAGACACATTTCATGCATTTATTCCCCTTGATGAATTTGATTAAAGCAAGAACAAAAGCGGTTTGTGCAGAATAATATGGTGCCTAATTAGGTCCGGAACACATGATCTGAAAATCTCTGTCATTACATGTTCTAGGAAAAAAAAATTTCAGATTATATCATTTCTTAAATGTACACAACACCACTGATAATTTTCACTTAACAATTTCATAAATACAGTTTTGTAAATTCATAAGTGTCTGTTGTTGAAGAATGGCCGTAAATTTCAGATATTTATCTCAAATAAATAGGTATCACTAACCACTAGAGAAATTTCGGTTAGGTGAGTTTCCTCTATGAGTGGTCATCATCTGCTGAGTTATAGAACACTGTAAATACTACTTTGTGAATTGAACAACTAATGAACACGGTAATTATAATCGTCACTTCATACGCCATCCTATATACATATCAATGGGTAGAGTTTCTATATTAGCAATCCAGTATTTCATTGTTTTTGTTGCATAAATTTTACAGTTAATTGAAAGAGTTTAGCTGATTCACAACTATGACATTCACACAATATGTTACTGGTGTGTTTTTGCAGCTAAATTTATCCCCAATAATGCTAACAATCAAAGAAATAAGGACAATGCCCTATTATTAATATTACTATTGGGTATATAGCCAGTAGTTTAAATAAGTATATCAGTACGATACTTTTCAACAGCATCTTGTCAACTACACACTATTTTTCTATATTTTTATCTGAACATTTTTTTCAGCTTACATTACCCCTTCCTATAGGTCGTCTATGATGGGATCATAGATATTAAACAGGAGCTCTGTATTAAGTAAGGTTTATGCTACCGGCTGATACATAAAAGCCGTGACCTATTGATTACTATACGAATTTACACTCAGGTTCTGAGACATATGTCATTAACTATTAGTATTATTAACGATTAACATCGAATTTCTCAGTTCTTACAGAAAGATAAAGGATAAAAATAGGACTTTATTAATTAAATTCTCACCCCAAATTCAGCCTGATGGTCCAGAAGTGCTTCACAAGGATTAATTGAATCCAGCCCCATATTCACACAAACAGGACATGCTGAAGAAGTAGTGTGTTTGGAATTTTGGCAGCGATCAGCACTCTGTATACGACGAGTATCTTGAATTGAGAACTTATACTTGCGTTTATCTATAGGGTATACTGAATTACCTGAGGAAACATGTCGGAAATTAGATGCATTTTGTCCCGAAAGTACTAATGCGTTACCAGTACACTTTGTTGTACTTTTGTACTTGGAATGACTCAAATTTGACTGTGAATCAAAATATGTGTTAGAATTCAAAGTATTTCTCAATTTAGGAACGCATGAGATTGGTTTGAGATTGTAAGGAATTAAAGCGTTAACTTTCGCGTCATTGATGTCAGGTTCAACACCACAAAAACAAAATGAAGCTGCCAAACGAAAAGCTGACATTAGCACATTTTCAATAACTGAAAATCTTATGCCTTTGGAAGAATGTGGATCTTCTGTAAAATAGTTCAAATCTGGGTGAAAATCAACAGTAGTAGGTGGATTCACAGTTGACAGAAACTTTCTAGATGGCTGTCCAGTAAAATCAGATCTCAATAACGGTACAGTTGGATTACAAATCATATAAAGGAAATCGTTAGGCATTCCACCAAGTGAACTCCTGTCATTGCTATTCACCAAGTAATCATTACACTTGGCATTTAAATCGTAGGAAGCGACAGGACTAAAATAGTGTAATACGAAAATATACAAGCGTAATATAGAATAAATATTAAAGGAAAGCAATATTGAAAAAAGAACTCGAAACAGTTTATTTGACTATAACCTGTTTTACTTCATCCATGAAACATCTGCTTCATTAGAACAAATTGAGATATGTTTACTTTACTGCCCTCTGGTCAATAATTCATTGTCTGATCAATAAATGACAAAATATTTCACCAGTCTGAACTGCCTGAAATCTTCTTGTATTAGTAACAGCTCAAATAAACTGAACTAACTGACTGACGGGTTTCAACGTAGAACTTTGCACTTATATGATGTAGTTCGAGTTGCCACACTCCAATGTAGCACACAAGGCAAGAGAAGAGTGAAGAGAGATTCAAATGGAAATAACAACTACTAGGCCTGAATAAAAACCGATCGAATCTTCGCTGGAAGAAATTAAGCACTACTCAGTACTTAAGGGGTACATACATAAACTTGAAAATTAGTGATAAATAATAATAAATGCCAGTTCAGAAAAACGTTCATTAAGCATAATTATCATTATTGCTCCCTTGGGTTCCTAGTGGAACATGGGGCTTCAACTGCACGTTTCCATTTGCTTCTGTCTTCTGCTGTACTTTTCACCTGCATCCATGTTAGTCCATATTCTTTCAACTCCTCTTCACACGATCTCCTCCATGTCACCCTTGGAAGTCGCACACGCCACTACCCTTTCGGGTTCCACTCGAGGGCTTGACACGCAATGTCACCCAGCGGTCTCCTCAGCGAGCGAGTGTCCAATCCATCCATCTCCACTTTCTCCTGCATATTTGTTGGGCGATTGGTTCTTGCATTGTTTGTTCCCATAATTCCTTGTTGGTGATTCTTTCCGGCCCGGCCATCTGATCTTCAGTATAGAGCGAAGACAGTTGTTAATAAAGGTCTGCAGCCTTTTGGAAATATTCTTTGTGACCCACCAAGTTTCTGATCCGTATAGAAGAACTGACTTTAAGTTTGTATTGAAAATCCGACTGAATTTTGTTGGTGATGCTGAGTGACGAAGATTTCCAAATTGATTTCAGGATGATGAATGTGTTTCTCGCCTTCCCGATTCTCGATTTGACATCCTCGTCCGCTCCTCCTGTAGTTGAGACAATGCTCCCTTCCTAGATAAGTGAATGAAATAACCCTTTTTCAAATCCCTCCCGTTGATGGTGATTGACGCTGGATGTTGCTGCTACTGCTGTTGTTGTTGTTGGTTGGTTATTTTCATCACCTCCGTCTTGTCTATGTTCACTTGGAGTCCTGTCTTCACTATCTCCTTCTCCTGTCCGTCCTTGCATTGAATCATTTTCTCTTTCACCATTCTCCTCTCTTCTATTAGTTTCCAAGTGTCCGTTGAGAGCCATTCCTTGTCTTGTCTCTTCTTTCTTCCTAGAACCGTTGAACACGTTTCGTTGAGAATCGCCTTCAGAGACTTCCAATGTTCTTCCACGCATGATTCTTCAGTGATGTCGCGTAGTGTTTCCCGCTTTGCTCTGACAGTTGCAGTGAAAGTGTCTTTTGTCGTTGTGTCCTTCAGTAATTGAGTCTTGACTTTGCATTGTGGTCTATGTCCAGCTATCCTCGAGGCTTTTAGTTTCACCTTGAAAGTTCCTTGTACTAGATAGTGGTCTGAACCCACATCTGCTCCTCTCCTTGACCTTTAGTCCAGTAGGCTCCGTCTCCACTTCCTTGAAATTGAGATGAAGTCTATTTGGATTTTGGTGTTTCCATCTGGTGAAATCCATGTCGTCTTGTGTATATCCTTGTGTTTAAAGACACTGCCACTAATAACCAAATCATTGAAGGCGCAGAAGTCTGAGAAGAGTTCACTGTTGTCGTTCATTTCACCGAGGGCCTCTCGACCCATGGTGAGTTCTCTTCCTATATTGTCTAGTCCCAGCTTCGCATTCATATCACCCATGAGGATTTTGATATCGCCATTTGCGACGTTGTCCATCGTTGCTTGTAGTTGTCTGTAGAACGCCTCCTTCTTCTCTTGTTCCGAGACGTTTGTAGGCGCATAGCATTGACATTTAATGACTGTAACTTTCCTTCCTTTTGAGTTGAACCTGGCTGTCATTATCCTGGAGGAGATTGGTTCCCACTGCATGAGAGCTTTGGTTGCTGTTGGTGACATCATGATGGCCACTCCCTCGGTGTGCTCATCGTTGTCCTCTGGGTGGCCGGAATAGATTACTGTCTCTCCAGTAGGTAGTTGGCACCTTCCAGTTCCGTTCCATCTGCTTTTGCAGATTCCCAACACTTCTATTCTGCACCTTCTCATTTCAGCAGCTATCTGGGCAGCCTTTCCAGGTACCCATCCTTACTTTTGCTTTCATCGAAAGAAGGCACATCGGCTGACTGGCTTCCCGAAGGCTAGCTTTCACCAGCCTGCGTCATTTCACTTCCCCGATTCCAGCGAAAAATAAGGCTATTGTTTATGTTTTTAGAATTTTTAATATATTTATTCGTTGAAGTTTCTGTAGCGGTTTGGTTGTTTTACAGGGCTGGAGTTGCTACGACCACGCCCCAACCCTCCCTCTTTACCCGGGCTTGGGACCGGTTAGAAAACTAGTAAGCTAGTAGCCTAGCAAGCTAGTATCTGGCGAGGTTCATAAAGGATAATAAATTGTTAAAATTATGCACATACTGTGTAATAGAAAAATATTAAAAATACAGAAGTAACAGCACAGTATTAAGGCGCACAAAATATAAGATTGGGTACGTTATTACAGAATGTAACTAAACAAAATGTGCAATTAGCTGAAAAAAAATCTATAGCAACATATGGTATAATTTATAACAGACATGTTATAAAACTATTGAAATTGTAGGTAAAATTTGTTTTGATGAAGTCTTAGTGTTATACAGTAATATTTACTGATGACGTTTCGAGCACAATCTATTGCTCACATAGTCATATCAAGGTGATATGACATGCTTATAAGCAATAAATTGTGCTCGAAACTTCATTACTGTACATTACTGTATAACACTGTGAAACTTCATCAAAGTAAATTTTACCCACAATGCAGTTTATTTCCATTGATAATTACATTTGATTGCATTACTCACTGATTAGAGACTGCTTCCAGGTATGGGTTAACGGTTTAAATAAGGACTAGTTTTCCAACTCGTATGCTTGTGAATACTCTGGACGATCGATGAAAAGACTCTAGAAGATCTGGATTTCGCAGATGAAATATGCTTAATGCCACACAAACTCGGAGACTTGCAAGCGAAAACCAACAAACTGACTGAAGAAGCAGTCAGAGAAGACAGGACTATAGGTGAACACAGAGAAGACGGAGGTGATGAAGATAACCAACCAAACAGCAACGACAACAACAACCAGCACCAATCACCATCAACGGGAAAGGTTTAACAGAGGTTGCCTCCTTCACTTATCCAGCCAGAAAGCATTGTTTCAACGACAGGCCAGCGGAACGGATGAATATGTCAAAGCCAGTCAGAATCGCAAAGGCAAGATTCTCCCCTACAAACTTGAAACCTATTTGGAAATCTTCTGGTGTCACTCAGCATAAGGAACAAGATTCGTATTTTTCAACACATATGTGAAGTCAGTAGGTCCTTTTATACGGGTCAGAAACTCGGCGGGTGTGTCACGAAAAGGATTTCCAACAGGCTACTGCAAACTTTCATCAACAGCTGCCCAGTTCGCTGACTCCATACTGAAGATCAAATGACCAGAAAGAATTAGTAACAAGATAATGATATATGTAGAAAATTTGGCCACTGTGGTATATATATATATATATATATATATATATATATATATATATATATAATTTATTATTATTATTGTATCCTTTAGTTCCTAGAGGAACATAGGGCTTCAGCTGCGCACCTCCATTGCCTTCGGTTTTCTGACAACTTTTTCACCCTGCTCCAGGTCTGTCCACATGCTTTCATCTCCTCCTCGCATAACCTCCTCCAAGTCACCCCACCCTGTCACTGACGATCAACTCGCCGCTTCCCTTTCGGGTTCCACTCGAGCTATGGCTTGTCTAGTGATGTCACTTGATGGTTTCCTCAGAGTTTGGCCAATCCATCTCCATTTCTTCCTGCCTATTTGTTGCACAATCGGTTCCTGGTTGGTTCGCTCCCAGAGATCCCTGTTGCTGATCTTTTCTGGCTGGCTATCTGATCTTGAGTAGTATTGAGCGAAGACAACTGTTAATGAAGGTTTGAAGTTTGTTTGAGATGCTCTTTATGACTCGCCAAGTCTCTGATCCGTATAGTAGCACTGACTGACTTCACATTGGAGTTGAAAATCCGGATGTTATTTTTGATGGTGAGTGCTGTTGACCTCCACACAGATTTGAGAGTAATGAAAGCTTGTCTTGCTTTTCCGATTCTGGCTTTGATGTCCTCGTCAGTTCCGCCTGTAGTTGAAACGATGCTTCCCAGGTAGGTGAAGGAGGTTGTTTCTTTCAGGTTCCTCCCATTTATGCTGATTGTTGTCTGTTGTTGTTGTTGATGTTGGCTAGGAATCTTCATCATCTCTGTTTTATCTATGTTCACGTGAAGTCCTATCTATGATGCTTCTTCTGCCAACTTGTTACTTTTCACTTGCATATCTTCCAGTTTATGGGAAATCAGACATATATCATCGGCGAAATCCAGATCCTCCAAGTCTTTTGTGTCAGTCCATTTGACTCCTGTTCCCTCGTTGGTTACCATTGTCTGTCGCATTATCCAAACAATTGCAATCAGGAAGATCACTTAAGAGCAATTTTAACCTTTTCTAACTTCTATCTTTGTTCCGTCGAGTACCATGTAATTTACAACTTTTAATTTTCACCTCTAAAGCCACTTATGATTAATTACATCAATTATGTCACCTCCTATTACTCAGTAATAGACCACTATGCATTTTTCTAAGTATAAATACGACTGTACAGCCTCTGAAGATGATTTCGTCGATAAAGAAAATTTTCTTCGCTGAATCTAGCTTTTAATTTAATATTACTGTATAATACTGTGTGATAGTCTCCGTCTTCTAATAACGCTATCAAAATTTATAAAAGGGACTAATTGTTTTAAACTGTGTGATTCATCAAAATAGAATCTTATCCAATAATGGAGTAGTAACAAGAAATTTTGGCTGAGAACAAGCCAACGAAGAGCCGATCGCTCAACAAATATGTAGGCGAAAATGGAGATGGATCATGCATACATTGAGGAAACCCTCGAATGTCATCACGCACAATGCAGACCGTAGCTCGATCTTTGATCATAGGTGCCTGCGTTCTATTTCCCGTGTAAAGTGGCATAATAAGGTGAGCAACATTGAAGTTAGGCGTAGAGTTCTAGGTAAACAGGGGAAATCAATCGACGAAGTCGTGAAGCTACAAAGACTGAGATGGTTAGGACATGTGTTACGTATGCCAAGTCATCGCCTCCCTCGACGAGCTATGTTAGCGGATATAGGGTCAGGCTGGAAAAAAGCTAGCGGCGGTCAAACAAAAACTTGGCATCAGTCAATGAAATCCACAACAGTTGGTCTTAGCCACGTAGGAAGGTGTAGACTTCCAGGCTGGGGTCCTCGGGACGGCAAAAATCTATGGTTGGAAACAATTGGTGACATGGCTCAAAATCGTTCTCAGTGGCGCAGATGCATCCACTCCCTGTGACTTATGATCTTCAATGAAATTGTTTTGTATTTCTTTATTACTCCTTTGTCTCCCACCTCTGCTTACTGTTTCTATTATGCTTTTCTTGGACTTTCTTCTCTTGCTTCGCGTGCTACACGGAGTGAGGCGACTTGAACTTCCGCACATTTGTGCAAAGTTCTATGTCGAAAACAGACAGACAGACAGCTCGAGTGGAATCCAAATTGGAAGCGATGAGTAGGTTGTCGGTGTGAAGGTGACATAGAGGGGATTATGTGAGGAAGAAATGGGAGAGTTTAGTCAATCGTGGATCCAGATGAAGAGGATGGCAGAAAATAGAAGAAAGTGGAGGTGTGTTGTTGAAGCCCTATATTCCACTCGGAACCCGAGGGAACCAATAATAATGCTTATATAATCAAGCTGACTGTCTAAAACATATGATCATTCGGTGTGAGAAAAGGTAGATATATGCTTCACTGCTTAACGCATAAATGTGTACACAATTAATGAACTGAACTGTATATTATACTAACAATTGGGCAACGGTGTGATGGAAGAAGATAAATTTTCTGACCACAATATTTAACTAATTTGTGATTCAATAAAAAAAAACGCACCCACCATATGAAAACGATGAAAACACAAAATTACTACTAAGGTTTCTTACGACCGAGACAGAGGAGTGAACAGTGATGAAATAAGTAAATATTGAGCAACACAATATATTCAGAATGTAGGTGTTAGTGGGTAGAATTCAATTATTATGGTTTACACTAAAAATACTAACCAACTAATTTGGATGAAATATTGTAACTCTAGAAGACAAGAAATTTGGTAACGGAATGTTCAGTTGGAATTTGGTATTTCTATATAGTGAAAGTATGTACACCCTATCTTGAAATCGGGTATTGCACAGATCTCCCGTATTGCGTTTTTTTCTTGTCTTTTTTTCGTGTCGCCCATGCTTTTTCACATCCTGTCTTTAACGTCAAATCTATCTCTCCGCTATTTGATGTTTTATGCCGATGAATGTTTCTTCATATACTATTGATACATCTTGTCAGTAGCACATGCCGCAATATGTGCATTCGAATGAATCTCTTATATACTGAAATTCCTATGATAATCATCAAGTTCTACTGATCTTTTAGTACTCATTAACACATTCAACTAATTCAGCTCCTAAGTCGATATATATGCTTCTACGCATCAATGAGGTATGTAGCACTAAAAGAATGAAATTAAAAAGCAGGAAAAGTTGAACGAACAGAAAACAATGATAGAAAAAGAAGGCTTACCCGGAAGCAGACCGACGTCTCTCATTGAGTGGTGAACTACTATTGTCCAGCATGGGAATTTTCATTTCAAATTTTGGTTGTGTAACTTTGGAATTATAATGTTCAGGCAACTGGTTACGTCTGGAGTCATGTTGTACAGGTGACACTGTAAAATGCGTTTTTAAAGGACCATAAGGAGAAACATCATTAGGCTGGACAGGATTTAATGGGACATTTATACAATCATCGCTGTTATCAAGGGTATTTGAAGTTGTAAGATTGTGAAAACACTCATTACAGTTGTTCATTTCATATTGATAGGAGGTGAACGGTGTGAAAAAATTACTAAATCCAACTGAATGATTGCTGGACTTCTGCAGAAAGTCCAAATTGTTTTTATCTAAAATTTGAAATATTTAAATAACAATTTGTATGAAGGGAGGCGGGCGAATTTGATTATACGTGTGATATTAACTTAAATTCGTATTGCAAGATAAGTTTGCACTATCTCGTTACCTATTTTGGTGCAAATGCAACCACTCCTTGTAACTTATAATTTCCAATGAAACTATATTGTTCTTTGTTATTACTATTCCTTTTGTCTGATATCCCGGTCTACTGTCTCTATTACGCATTTCTCCTACTTTCTTCTCTTCCCTTGTGTGCTACATAGAGTGTAGCGACTTGAACTTCTGCACATCGGTGCAAAGTTCTATGTCGAAAACAGACAGACAGACTTTGGAATGCGTTATTCTCCTATTTGCAGCATTTGTAGGGAAAAGAAAGAAAGACATACAGCAACGTTGTTATTTGGAGTCTCAAAAATCAATACGCAACTTTTAAAAATTATTCCGTCGCTATATTTTCCTTGAGAAGCAAGTTATTTGGTGAAAGGAGTCACACTTAAAAATTGAGTTTGTCTATTTCATGAATATAAATACTATCTTTTTCAAGCTCATCTTTACAATTATTTCCATACCAAGATAGAAAAATTTTATTTTAACAAATGTAAAACCATAGGAAAGCCATTATTACCATAAGCAGCCTGATATTCAGTTTGTGGAAATTTGTACACACAATGTAGATAATATAAATAAACCTAAAAATACTGATAACATAAAAAGTAAGCATAAAATATTCAACTGATTCTCTTACTGAAATTCCAATCGTGAACAGAACGTATAACACCTCTTGTGTTTACATCTGTAAAACATATGATCCCCTAACAATGGTACCTTATATCATTAACGGGTTGGTAAAGAAAAAAGTTGCGCTTTTTATTCATTCTTGACGGACGATAACCCTTGACAATCATAATAGGAAACTGAGCTGCTTACACCTTTCACAAATACAAAAATCATCTTGTTCAATTCAAAAATAGCCGTAAATCTGATTTACACAAATAAAGTACTATTTTACAAGAAGTTGAGCCCTGGAAGTTGGACAAGGAATAGCGTAAATTTCCTTCCCAAACCAAAGGATTACTAATGGTACATGATAGCACTATGTAAGATAAGCTAATACTCTTATGGAACTTTATTCTACCACAATTCGGTTAGCAGTGATAAACTAAATGCCGGTAGTCAATCAGTTGTTTATTTACGATGCATTATCATGACAATCATAGTGTCGAAGAAGTTTCCAAATTCCTTCACGGTAAACGCTGTCGAACGCCTACTCAAAGTCAATGAAGTCGAGGTAGTTGTTAGACTGGCATTCGATGCTTTGTTGGGTGATGATACGTAAAGTTACAGTTCGGTCAGCACATGATTTGCCTTTCCTGTATCCGGCTTCTTCCGAGCTGTTGGAGTTCTACACCTAGTGCATCTTTAGTTCTCTTCAGGATGATGCAATTTAGTATTTTACCTGGTGTGGACAAAAACATAATTCCACACCAGTTCCTGCACAGGCCTAAGTCACCCTTCTTTGACAGCTTGACAATTTTGCCAGCCTTCTTCCAAAACCTTGTGTAGTAATGAAGTGAGCACATATGCCGCAGTCTCTAGGTCCGTTTTCACTGCTTCGGAGGGGGGGGAGGGGAGGAACTCCGTTTAGGACTGCTGCCTTCCAGGAACTTCACTAGCCTGATTGCGTTCACGATTTCTGCTTTTGTTGGACGACTGGTGTCCACTGGCAACCCTGTGAGTGCTGCTGGTCGGCGAGTTACAAATGATGGTCGATTCAAGAGTCGTTAGAAGTGATCATCCCATTGTTTTGTTTGTCTACACTCTTTGGTAATCAGGTTCCCTTGACTACCTTTTAAAGATTAGACCTGAGTTGATGTTTTCTTAGATAACGTTTCGAGGTCTCTTTTACCTGCGGCCTTTTTTGCTTCAGTTGCCAGCCAGTGTGTCACAGAATTGTCTTTTGTCTTCCCCTGGTACTCGTCGCTTTATTCAGTGCGACATATATTGAATTCATCTGACTGGTTTCAACCTAGAACTTTGCATCGATGTGCAGCAAATCAAGTCGCCACACTTCACTCAGCACAAAGCCAAAGAAGAAAGTATAAAGAAACGCAATACAGACAGCAAACAGAGATATGAGGCAAAAAGAATAGTAATATTGAAGAACAATTGAATTCAGCTTCTCCTTTTGAAGATCAAATGGCCAACCAGAAAGAATTATTAACAAGAAACTATGGGAATGAACCAGTCAAGAACCGACTGCTCAACAAATATGCAAGAGAAAACCAAGATGGATTGAACATTCGATGAGAAGACCGTCGAATGACATCGCGCCCAATGCAGGCCATCACTTGAATCGAATCTGACTGAGAAACACCGAGTAGGTTGTCGGTGAGGAGGGCGACATGGAGGAGATTATGGTCAGTCTTGAATTCATCTGAAGAGGACAGCAGAAAATAGAAGAAAGTGATGTGTTGTTGAAGCCCTATGTTCCGGTTGGAATCCGAGGGAACAATAATAGTAACCCATAATAGTCATGACAACCTGTGGACCATATATCTTTAGAATAAGTAACCAGTGGCATAAAAATATGAAGCTCTTCATTATCAAGTAAGAATATGTATTACACGATGAAATATTCCGTACACGTAGTTCCCATATATATATATATATATATATATATAAGAGAGAGAGAGAGAGAGAGAGAGAAAGGGAGAGAGAGAGATCTACGTAAAAAATGTGCTTAATTTTAGTGACGACAAAAACGTGGGTATACAATGATGCGTGAAAAAGAAAACTAGCAGACCACCTCTAACAAATAAAAATCAATAATACAATATGCAAATTCATGAAGCAAAAACTTATGCAAATAAAAAACTTTTGTACTATACTTTCAAACTTTCGAACCAAATTCGACTTTCTCGGCAGCCTATTGAAATTCCTTTGAAAATGAAGACAATTAGTTTGAGCATTAGCAGCATAACGCTGTTCGTTTGACTGAAGATCTGTAACAGTATTCCCACAAGAATGCAGGCGTAACGACTTCGTATTAGATTTCTCTGCTACATCACTATCCGACTTTGTGTTCGTAAACGGCCTTATCTGAGAACTATAACAGGAACTCAATGAAGCATCACGACATCTATCAATATTTAATCCAATCGGTGAATTTGTGAATGTTGCAGCTGAAATGTAAATAATATTATTGGTTTACTGAATACTTTCGAAAGAAAATCAACTAGAAGAAATCCCGGCTGAAAATTGTAAAACCATTTTGAATACAAATCTTACCAGGGAAATTAAATGTTAGTGTTTAACGAACATTAAATAGAATCAACGATTCAAAACAGATTTAAAGCAATTGGTTCCCTTTATGAATTTCGACAAAACAATAAGAAGACGTAGTTTATCTGAAACGTATAATGTATTGGCGCAACACATTTCGGACATTCTGATCACACACGTACTTGTCGTACACAGTTTTTATATAAGGCAAGAAAGCATGAATAATTACAATACAGGTCAGATTGTGTACAGGTCAAGGTCACAAAATAATGGGTAGGGAGACGCAAAAGGTGTGGGTAAGAAAGATAAAGGGAGGAAAAAAAGGGCAAAGAAAGGGTTTGAAAATATTATGAAGTAAAATTGGACCTTGGTTCTAAGTTGGATTACCAAGGCAGGTTTAAGGTGATAACAAATAACTTTTGGACGCATAAGACAGGTTTAAGTCTTTTAATGGCTAAGGCTTCAATGAATTTAAGTATGTGACCCAACCTTGTCTTATATATCGGCTTAAAGGCATTATTAAAATCAACCTTATGACCCGTCTCTATAATATGCTTCGCTATAGATGATGTTGGACATCTATTTCCCGGGTCAATTGTATCTGGCGATTTCATTTGTTGTTGCAGCCACTTTGGAATGTGTTCTGTGTTTATCAATTCACATGTATGTGTGGAGACACGTACATAGGGAGGACCCATCGGTCTCTGCATGTTAGGGCTACAGAACACATTCCAAAGTGGCTGCAACAACAAATGAAATCGCCAGATACAATTGACCCGGGAAATAGATGTCCAACATCATCTATAGCGAAGCATATTATAGAGACGGGTCATAAGGTTGATTTTAATAATGCCTTTAAGCCGATATATAAGACAAGGTTGGGTCACATACTTAAATTCATTGAAGCCTTAGCCATTAAAAGACTTAAACCTGTCTTATGCGTCCAAAAGTTATTTGTTATCACCTTAAACCTGCCTTGGTAATCCAACTTAGAACCAAGGTCCAATTTTACTTCATAATATTTTCAAACCCTTTCTTTGCCCTTTTTTTCCTCCCTTTATCTTTCTTACCCACACCTTTTGCGTCTCCCTACCCATTATTTTGTGACCTTGACCTGTACACAATCTGACCTGTATTGTAATTATTCATGCTTTCTTGCCTTATATAAAAACTGTGTACGACAAGTACGTGTGTGACCAGAATGTCCGAAATGTGTTGCGCCAATACATTATACGTTTCAGATAAACTACGTCTTCTTATTGTTTTGTCAAAACAGATTTTCCAATCATATTCCGCGTTATTTTATCAAAAAGAAATCAAACAACACCTACACTTTTAGTAGAGAAAGTACTTGAAAATTTAAAAAGTGTAAAACTAGACTTACAGGGAAACAACCTCATTGTTGATTCACACAAGCCTTGACCTGTAAACCAATCAGAATCCACATGAACTACATGTTTCATGTCTGTGGGTGGTGAAATTAAAGGTATTCCCCCTTGACTGCAACCGACTCTACGAGAAGATGGTAGAGTATCATCGAAAACGGAGGAATTTGAATCTGTAGCATTATTTGTATTTACATCAAAATGTGATCGATTAGGCTGTGCATAATTGACAGAGCGTTTACGATCCTTTCCATGAAGACTATTCGCGTAAAAGGCGCCTTGATGTATAAAATCAGCCTCTGTAGATGGATTTCCATTACTTCCCCATCGTCTGAAAAGGCTACGAACAAATGGGCGTTTTCTAGGCGGAGGTGGTTTAGGCTGGACGACTTGGTTTGTATGGGTAGGATCTTTTAAATGGTTGGCAGCCAGAACAGCCAGCAGCATGAAATGTTGCTAATTTGAGTTAAGAGTAAGTCACACAGGAATATTTTATAAATAATAGAAAACAAGATGAAGTAATTCGATAGTGAAATTAATAACCGATAACAAATATTTTCAATCTTAGGAATGTTATAACTGATTAGCGAGCCATGCATATTGTATGTGGATAAATCAAATCATTAACGTGCTTAAACGATAGTAGATTAAGCACGGTTCATGTTGGCAAACTAGATACCATAATATTGTTTGTTAGACTTCTGGAAATAATGTTCTGCAGAAGCTTATTCCAAGTAGAGATTAATGGTAAAAAGTGAGACTTCAGCTTCTAATCTTCTCATTTCATATGAAAGAAGAAATATTCTGTCGATCAGGACATCTCATAACTGCATGCACCGCCGTTAGTAATGATGCATAAATACATTATACACTATACTACTTAATAATAATAATAAATTTTACTACTATTTATACTACTATTTTATACTACTTAAGATTCCCTTTAGACCTAGAAGGATGTGTAAAGTTTCCTACTAATGAATTCATCACTGGTCAATAAATGCATACAACCCATATCTTCGTATGAACGAAAAAGATAAAGCAAAGCAACGAAAACATTGAATGGCTATTTTTATCCTGAAAACATAGCCACTTTCCTTTACAACCTATTTTCCATGAATAGATTCTTTCAAAAAATAATTAACCAACATAGAATCTCACATAAAAAAGGAGAGATTGTATCAGTTCGTCAAGTGATAACAATTCTCAACCTGACAGATGGGTTAAACAAATACATAGTGACATCTTGATGATAACCATCAAAGAGATTTGTGTCACGTTGCAGATTAATTCTATCAAAAATGATTGGCTGTAAAACGAATGCCGACAAAATACGTTGCACTGATCAAGGCACTCTACTCGAACTCATTCAGTCAGCTAGGTAAGAGCTTACGGAGACTTGTCATCTGAAGTGGTGACGACTAGTGGTGTCCGTCAGGGATGCCCACTATCTCCGTTTCTATTCAATTTCATCATAGATGTACTAATGGAATTAACCCTAACTCACTTCAGCAACTCACGGATTGACTTGATACCAGGGAATAATCTAGTCAACTTAGGATATGCAGACGATATAGTCCTTCTAGGCGAGAACGCTGACAAAATGCAGAGTCTTCTCAACACCTCGAGTTGTAATCTACGAATGTTTGGCATCCGATTCGCTCCCGCCAAATGTAAAATGATGCTACAGGACTAGCCTGGACTACACTGACTCCTAGCTTAGAAATAGGGAGTGAATCGTTAGAGCACGTTGACCGCTTCACTTATTTGGGAAGTTGCATCAGCCAGCGCCAACGGGTTGATCACTAACGAAATGTCAGCACGGATACAGAGGGCTAGTTTCGCATCTTCTAGTTTACGCTGTCTCTGGCGTATACGTGATATCCGGTTGGCTATCAACCAAAGGGTGTGTGTACTGCTCAGCAGTCTGCTCCGTCCCCCTTTATGGCTGTGAGACATGGCCATTGAGAGTGGAAGACATGAAAAGACTAGTTAGCTGTCTTTGATCATAGGTGCCTGCGCTCTATTTCCCGTGTGAAGTGGTATAATAAGGTGAGCAATACTGAGGTAAGGCGTTGGTTGAGATCTAGGTAACTAGGGGGAATCAATCAACGAGGCTAAAAAATTGCATCGACTGAGATAGTTAGGACATGTGTTACGTCATCGCCTTCCTCGACCGATGGGGAATGTCAGCTGACATAGAATGGATCAGGCTGAGAAACAGCCAGTGGTGGTCAAATCAAAACATGGCTTCATCAGTCAGTGAAATCCACAACAGTTAGTTTATGCCACGTAGGAAGGTGTAGACTTCCTGGCTGGTTGGGGTCCTCGGGACGGTAAAGACCAATGGTTGGAAGCAAGTGATGATATGACTGAAAATCATCCTCAATGGCGCAGATGCATCCGCTCCTTGTGACTTATACTTTCCAATGAAACTATATTGCTCTTCGTTATTACTGTCGCTTTTGTCTTATATCCCTGTCTACTGTCTCTGTTTTGCATTTCTTCTCTTCTTTTGTATGCTACATGGAGTGTAGCGACTTGAACTTCTGCACATTGGTGCAAAGTTCTATGTCGAAAAAAGACAGATCCAAAATGAAAATAATTATAGAGCACATATTATCGGTAAATTCTTTTCAGGCTTTACAATTGCATAATATTTGTGCTGATAACTTTTATTATCAGTATCATACTGTACTGTAGTTGCATGTTTTAATCTTATTTTCACAAGTTATTAATATTATTATTATTGTTACATTATCTAATCACTATGTGGCAATAGTCATTTTCCCCTCTAACCCTACTAGTGTACACATTCTACTTGCTTATATTTGATTCTATTGATCTGAATTGTTTCAAATGGCTATGACTGATATTTTACTATGTAGTTGTAAGGCCAGATGAGAATTTACCGGAAATATATATATTTGCTTCAGTTGTTTTCTATAAAATGAAGATAGTAGAAAAGAAGAAAAAAAATAGTGAGTGAGTGCATGGGAAAATAAATCAGAGAGGTTGTTGTTGATGTTATCAGTTCAATTTATCAATTCTGAAAAAAACATTGTTCTCTGGCACTTAAAGAATACTTCGTATTGATTAGGAAATCGAACTAATCTATCATGTATTGGTAGGTGAATGGTTGTGAGCAGAATCAAACCCCACACACACATTAAGTATATCTCGTAGCCTAGTGAGTGAAAAAATTCTCTAACAAGCAACATTTGTGAAAAAGCAGCATTTGATGAATATTCATAGATTTCAATGCCACTCGTCAATTGAATACTCTAAAAACACTATTAATTATACAAACACAGGAACATTGTGACAACTAACAAGGATCAATTTCAACAAATATATGATCATTCAAACATCTATTAAACACAAAATAATTGAGCAAAGAATATCCTTTCCGATAAATTCCTCTTCTGGCTCTACCATTATCCTCTTTTTTATATACACAGAATATTCTAGATTAGTAGTCAATAACAATATTAGCGTTTTTTAATTAATATCAATTTGTGAAGTAAGATCAATGCAATTACAGTTCATTAAAGGTGTGGAAATAATAATAGTAATTGAAATAATAATAATACAGATAAATAGAATATCAACTAAAATTAGGAAAATTCCACAAAAATTCAGGATCATTCAAACCTGGATGGCCAAGGTAATGATAATGTCTGAACTAACTTATTTTGGATGCACAAATTAGGCTTCTTAATCTGGATCCCAACAGCCTCAGCAATATTAAGTAGTCGAAGTCTTAAGGCGAAATTAGGATTTTTTGGTATGAGGTAAATGACCTAGAAAGCATGGTTAACTTTAATTGACGTATCTTCTTTATTCACTAATATAGCACCTATGGAAACAGTGGACTTTGTATGCGAAGAACTCATAAGACGAAACATTGAAGTTGGCATTCCTATATCTTTTATGAAAGAGCTTCTCTTGAAATGCACAATGAATATCCACTTTTTATTTAATAAGGAACAATAGAGACAAATCGACGGTTTGGCAATGGGATGACATTTTCCTTGCAGAACTAAAAAATGGACTTTTGAAGGATGTTATTAATGAACTCGAATTCTATTGTAATAAGGCATTAAGAAGATAAATTTCGCGGGATGATATCATTTCGTAGTTCATTTACAACCGCGAATTCTATTGTCGGTATATGGATGATACATTTTTGGTTATGAAAAATGAGGAGGAAGCAAAGAACATCCTGGACAAATTTAGCGAGGTTCATCTTGCAAAAATTTGACCATTGAGAATGAAAAAGATTCTAGTATTTCATTTCTAGACGTCCTTATTACCACAAGAGGATTGCGCAATAAGAAGAAGAGTATATAGAAAACTTACATTAACGGGTCAATGTACTCATTTTTTCAGCTTCGTGCCCTTGAAATACAAACGCAATCTGATAAATTGCTTGGTTCACAGAGTAAGAGGAATCTGCTCGGATGAATGTCTTGGTAAGGAACTTAAGAATATTAAGCGGTTGCTGGATGAAAGTGGTTATCCAAAAAAGTCTATTGATAAGAATATGAATCTGAAATCAAAGCAGCCTAAGGTACCAACAGATCCTAAAAAGGCCTTATTCTTACAACTTGCATTTCCTTGAGGACAACATCACCGAGATACTAACACAGTGCCTTAGAAATGCGGTAAAAGGAGCATTCCCTGCTGCCGAAATAAGCCGTGTCTTCAAAACCACCCATATTTTGCATTCGGGAGTAAAAGACAAACTGCCTAATTTCTCCTCGTCCAGGTGTATCTACCAATTTAACTGCTCCTGTGAAGTGAGCCAGTTACATAGGCCATAAAATTAGGCGTGTTTCTCGTCGGATTTCTGAACATCATCCTGTACAATTGTTGGTTAAGTAACAAAACAAACAAAATCTATTCGCAGAGCTATTCTATATCATCTTGTGGATACGTTTGACCTTGGCGGCCTGCTTAAATCTTGGGCTACCAAATACCTTAAACATTACAAATCATATCGCATCTAATTTCTCATTTCCAATTCATTTTAAATTACTAAACCTTATTCAAATATGACCTCTAATCGGATTATTTATTCTCACGACTGTTTAATATCCTTAAAACATATTGATCTGCAACTCCATAAAAAAGACAAACAACAAGCATCATGCAGGGTGGCAAAGAGCCTTAAAAATGACCCCTATTCAATTCATGACTGTTCCCGAAATTATGAGTACAAATTGTCGCTCCCTGCCAGCTAAAATGAACTGTCTTCTATTATATATCGTAATACTGGGATTATATCACTTCAAGAAACATGGCTACATGATCTATATGATGACAATCTAGTATATCTAAATGATTTCAAATTATTCAGACAAGATCGGTGTAGTTCCAGAAAGAAACGCGGTGGCGGTGTCGCCATCTTCATCAATTCACAATGGTGTACGTCTAATAATGTATGTTTCAAATTCTCTAGTGACAATATTGACTGTCTCACCGTTAAGTGTCGACCTAAACATTTGTCAAAATACAACTACATTTACATCTCGAACATTTATATTGCTCCTGGATGCAACTCCACAGAATTATCTTTATTTGCGGATGAATTTACTTCCCTTGCTGCCACCTCCTTCGGAAATTCCTTGTCTATAGTTACTGGAGATTTTAATTCTAGTGATCACAGCTTCCTAATTTCACTTGGACACGATAACATTGTCAACTTCCCGACTAGAATGGATAACACTCTTGATCTTGTGTTTACAAATGACGCAGGAATATTTGAAGCTCGAAAAAGAGCCCCACTACTAAATTCAGATCACTGTATCATAAGAATATTGCCCAAAGTATATGGAAAGCAGCACAAAAGGGTCTTCTCATACCTTGGAAAGAAAACACAACACAGATGTTATTCCCATGACAACATACTGAACCTAAGGTCCATGTTAAAAGACACAAACTGGGATTTATTTACTGAACAAGCTCTTGATAACACAATTACCAACATAACACATTATCTTAATTTCTGTCTTGATGTTTGTTGTCCAAAAGAGACAATCTTCTTAAAATTCGATCGCTTCTCCTCTTCTCAACTCAAAAAGCTCCGCCGTGAAAAAGAAAGGTTGTTCAAAATGAAAAACAAATCTGGTGTTAAGAGAATGAACACTTTGATTAAGCTTGAATTACAAAGATTGAATGCTCTCTATAACCAGAAGTTTCTTTCATGTAAATCCCCATCAAATATGTGGAAGTTATTAAAGGAAATCACAGGTGGTAAGCAAATGTTGAATGATATTTCTGTAGATGTTAATACGCTTAATGAATCCTTCATATGTATCCCAGCAAATGTTATGATTCCTAACTCAAATAGTGTAAACAATGACTGCTTCTCATGCTTTAACACGAATGATGTCCTCAAGTGTCTTCAATCTCTCAAGCCTACTCAGTCCCTTGGTCCTGATGGTGTTCCTGCTGTTATCCTTAAGAAGTGTGCCGACATCTTGTGTTCCCCATTAACTGACATTTTCAACGAATCGTTTTCCAAAAGTATTATACCTGAATCATGGAAAAATATCAAGATCGTTCCAGTGCCTAAATCTACAAGTGGACCTAATGTTAAGTTTAGACCCATTGCTATTACCTCACCTTTTCTGAAAGTTATGGAAAGACTTATTTTACTTAATCTTGATCCCTCTTTAAAACCTTTCAACGACCCCAACCAGTTTGCTTATAAACATAGTAGGTGTACGTTAGATGCCGCTGTTGTCCTCCACCATAGCATAGTCTCTAGTTTAGATAAAGGAGCTAAATACGTTCGCTGTGCCTTCCTTGATTACACATCTGCATTTGACTCTGTTCCCAGGTCTCTCTTGCTAAGTAAGCTTGCTGCAACACAGGCTGAGAGCTGGACAAATAAGTGGTTGCATTCCTATTTTTCTGATAGGAAGCAGTACACCGTCTACAATGGAAAGTCCTCCACTACCTCACTTACTTTAGCTGGTGTTCCTCAAGGTGCTGTTCTTTCTCCTTTTCTTTTTTCTTACATGACTTGCCTCATTCTGATGTAGCCACTTTTGTTAAGTATGCCGATGACCTCTCTGTTTCTATGCCTGTCAACTCTCAGTCAGATTGTTCCAAATTAAATAACTTTCTGTCGGAAATTAGTCAGTGGTCCTCTTCAAACGGACTTAAGCTTAATCCGTCTAAATGTCAGGTAGTCAATTTCACTTTCAGACGTAAATGTGACCTACAGCAACTAGTTAGCTCACATGGCCCCACTATCATTGACGGCACAGAGGTTGAAAATACATCTGATGTCAAGTACCTTGGGCTGAGTTTTTCCACCGATCTTTCCTGGTCTTCCCACATCTTGCTAGTTACTAGAAAGATGTTTCGCTTAACGTTCTACATTAGGAAATTTAGGCAGTCTGGCATAAAGCAGTCTTTGCTTTCTCAGTTTGTCAATTCTTGTATTCTACCCATCCCTCTTTACTGCTCCCCATTGATCTTTCCTGGACTACTTAAGAAAGACTTTGCTTTGCTGAGAAGGGCACTAAAAGCCGTTAGTAGGGCAAGTGGGATATCGTTAAACCAACTGGTTAACACTATTGTGGATAGACATAGGTTATCATGTAAGAAACTAGCGAATACAATATTGTCAGACCCCAAGCATCCTCTCTATACACAGCTCTCTCCTTGCATTTCATCTGGTAGAACTAGAAGCAGCTATAGGAGGCTATATGCTAGGACTACCAAGTACAAAAACTCTAAAATACCATATCTGGCACAGCTGTTATGTGATGAGAAATCCGTTAGGTATGACACGATCAACTTACTGCGGCACTCTAACAAATAGTCTCACCAGTTTTTTGTTTTCCTTTCCTCGTTACTATTACACTGTTGTTCTCATTCTATTAATAATTTTATACTTCATATCTTGTGGTGCACTGTCTAAAATGTAAACGCAACACTGTTCTTTTTTTATTTCTTTTATTTATCTTTTTTTGGGTGTTGCTTTTTGATTTTAGAATCTTATAAAATTTATGAGGTAATTAGATGCAATATATTGTAATGCATGCTGAAAATTCCATACCTGTATTACAAATACTGTTTGGAATAAAGCTGTTATTATTATTACTGATGTCAATGAGGCTTTCAGGGTCATTTACCTCATACCAAAAAATCCTAATTTCGCCTTAAGACTTCGACTACTTAATATTGCTGAGGCTGTTGGGATCCAGATTAAGAAGCCTAATTTGTGCATCCAAAATAAGTTAGTTCAGACATTATCATTACCTTGGCCATCCAGGTTTGAATGATCCTGAATTTTTGTGGAATTTTCCTAATTTTAGTTGATATTCTATTTATCTGTATTATTATTATTTCAATTACTATTATTATTTCCACACCTTTAATGAACTGTAATTGCATTGATCTTACTTCACAAATTGATATTAATTAAAAAACGCTAATATTGTTATTGACTACTAATCTAGAATATTCTGTGTATATAAAAAAGAGGATAATGGTAGAGCCAGAAGAGGAATTTATCGGAAAGGATATTCTTTGCTCAATTATTTTGTGTTTAATAGATGTTTGAATGATCATATATTTGTTGAAATTGATCCTTGTTAGTTGTCACAATGTTCCTGTGTTTGTATAATTAATAGTGTTTTTAGAGTATTCAATTGACGAGTGGCATTGAAATCTATGAATATTCATCAAATGCTGCTTTTTCAAAGTTGTTGGTTGTTTTAAATTAACGACAGGAAGTAAATGTCTTCAATTTATAAGATATTCGTAATAATATTTTTATGTGACAAATGACAATGCTGTCTAAACTGCTCAATGATTCTGATGTAATCGAAATTGAACTTTGCATACATAAATATTGTAGTCCATATGCAAAATGTACAAATAGAACTAATCAGATTATAAGTAGGTGTTATGCAATTTCTGTGAAAATACACTTTTTTTATATTGGCAGCAATAAACTTAATGAAAAAAGTTAAAAGAGAAAAACTTACACCCATAGTGCCGGCCATTCGATTATACAACTCTTCTTTCATATGAAGTTGATGAGCTCTTTCAACTAGATCTGCTTTCACCCTATCCAAAGATTCACGATAGTTGCGTAACAACTCTAACTGTGTTAAAAGCTCGCTTGTAAAATCTAAACTTCCGCTTTTAAATGATGATGACAGTGCTTCAGCTACAGACTGAAATTTTTGATGAGAAGAAAAGAAAATCACAGAAATATAATTAATAGGCTGAAATGTGTTATTCGGCTAGTGTTAGCCACACTTGTTGTGTGAAGACTAATGATACTATCTACTTGTTGAGACTGAAGTGGTGTCCAAGACTCGACCCTGGAACTCACTGGTTGGGTGGATGTCAAGAGTTTTCGTCAATGAGCCACATATCTACACAGTGAAATATGATAACAGATAAAACAAAATAACTATGTTCAGTGAATGATAAATGACAATCCTCTTCAGTAAGTACTAAAGTTATACAAGTTGTGTGAATTTGAAACTGTAGCTAATGAGTCATACTACCTTGGGATACCGAAAGAAAAGATAACTTATCAGGAGCGACAAAACACATCCTATGGACGCCTCAAAAGCTTACTCAGCTATCACAACTGTTGTAAGAAGGGAAGTTTCCACAAAAGTCTCAAAACACGACAATCAATTACTAAGTTGAGAAAACGATTAAATAAATCATTGGTAAAAACTAAAAGTAAAAAGGAAACAAAGATAAAAATGGTAGAAAACAAATTATATTAAAAGTATTTTAGTCATTAAAACGGTATAGAACATACCTGTTGTTCTTCATTGTGATGAGCTGCTATGAGTTCACGCCAGCCTTGTTGAATTTGAGCTAATTCACTAGGCTCTAAGTCAACAAAACTGCAATCCTTACACGATTCAAGTCTGGCTATGATGTTTTCGAATGTAGGTCTACTTGTAGGAGTAGGTGACCAACAATCTGAAACAATAAAACAATTTTACAAGTTAGCGTACCAAACAGTAATCATGCGCTTAACTCGTCTTTCCAACTCACATCATTTACAGGTACACCGTTTTCTCTCTACCTTTTTTTCTGTATTTATTTTTGTTATGTGCTGTTTTCGTTTCTCTCTTCCTTACAAACTCTACTTAAAACATTCTTGTTCGTTCTTTCACACTCTGTATATCTCGACCATTTTGCTATCGCTTACGCTAGTAAATATACTAGTAGTATCTACTTTTCTAACACCCTCAAACACTCTGTTTAATTTTGGCTTTGCTACCGACATGCTAATATGTTGTTGTCAAAACTGACTTAGATAACTTTAATCTATGTAGAACTTTATTTATTGTTAATGTACTAACCGGATGCAATATTGTAGTAAAATGCTGAGAATTCCATTCTGTATCACAAGTACTGTTTTGGAATAAAGCTATTATCTTATCTTATCTAACTAATGCAAAGTGAATACAATGCTAAATCAGCATTAATCGTGATTATGCAAGATGTTACTTGCTGTAGGCCTGCTGTCCACAGACTTTAAGTTTGCATAAAGCGAGTGAAATGATTAGGCATTTTGACCACTTCAGTTATTCGAGAAATTGCATCATCTCCAACCGACTGATTGATGACGAAATGCCAGAATGGAAACAAAATGCTTATGTGGTACTTAGCAACTCGCATTATCTCTGGCATAGACCTGATATGCGACTATCGAAAAAAGGATGCGTGTATTGCAAAGGTGGCGGCGAGACACATAGCCATCGAAAGTAGAAGATATGAAAACGTAAGTTGTCTTTGACCATAGATGTTTCTGTTCTCTCTCATGTGTTTAGTGATACAATATGGTGAGTATGACAGCCTATTTGAACCGCGGAGGGTGGTGTGGACTGACTAGTTGTAGTCATCAGGATGCTAAGCTCCAGCAGCTGGAGACTATTAGTGGTATGGCTCAAAATCGTTCTCAATAGCACAGACGCATTCACTCATTGTAATCTCACAAATTCATCATATCTTCATGTTTTCCCATGTTATTATTATTCTTTTTTGGTACATTTTCGTTCTTTTGAATTTCTTTTCTCTACCTTTGTGTGATATATATGATATGTGGTAACTTGAACTGCTGAGTTTCTGTGCAAAGCTCTATACTGAAACTCAGTCAGACAGTCGATCAATAACGATGACAGACTACTATACCGCTAAAAAATGAGGTGAGCATTAAGTAATGCCGTAATATCAACTTACATCTGAACATGACAAAAGCAACTTAATGAATGAAAATCTCATGTAGAAGGTATTTGGTAAACTGACATTCGTAACTTAACCCGCTTGTTTATAACCTAGGATAAAACAGTCTGTCTTATGAATAGGGACTCGAACTGATTCAACAGTCAGAGTTTAATAATGACATGGACTCTTTTTTTACCTTTTTTGGGTAATAAGCGACCGACTTCATCCTGAATGTGGAAGAAAAGAATAAGGTATGAACACTAAGTATTATTATTACTGTTCCCTCGGATTCCAACCGGAACATAGGGCTTCAACAACACATCACTTTCTTCTATTTTCTGCTGTCCTCCTCAGATGAATCCAAGACTGACCACAATCTCCTCCATGTCGCCCTCCTCACCGATAACCTACTCGGTGTTTCTCAGTCAGATTCGATTCAAGTGATGGCCTGCATTGGGCGCGATGTCATTCGACGGTCTTCTCATCGAATGTTCAATCCATCTTGGTTTTCTCTTGCATATTTGTTGAGCAGTCGGTTCTTGACTGGTTCATTCCCATAGTTTCTTGTTAATAATCTTTTATGGTTGTCCATTAGATCTTCACTAGGCAGTCAGTGAGGGCAGCTGTTGATAAAAGTCTACAACCTGTTGAAAATCCTTTTCGTGACACGCCAAATTTCTGACCCATATAGAATAACTGATTGACCTAATATTTGTGTTGAAAATCTGAATCTTGTTCTTTATTCTGAGGAGTGCAAAAGATTAATGAAGGCGTATCTTGCCTTTCCTATTCTATCTGGCTTTAACATCTTCATCCGTTCCGACCGCCTGTGGTTGAAACCATGCCTTCTAGATAAGTGAAGGAAGTGACGTCTTTCAAATCTCTCCCGCTGACAGTGACTGGTGTTGGTTGTTGCTTCATCACCTCCGTCTTCTCCATGTTCACCTGCAATCCCGTCTTCGCTGCCAGCTTCTTAGGCAAGTTTGTTGGTTTTCACTTGTAAATCTTCGAGTTTGTATGATATTAGACACAAATCATCAGCTAAATCCAGATCTTCTAGAGTCCACTTGCCGGCCCAATGTGCTCCTGTCTTCTCGCTCCCACGCATAATCCAGCCCACTACAATTAGGAATAACATTGGTGATAATAGGCAGCCAGCTTGTCTTACTCCTGTATTCACTTTATAAGCTTAGCTGAGTTCTCCGCTGTGGATCACTTGACACGTGGCATTGTCATGTAGCTGTTGAATGAGATTAATAAAGATTTAGGGTACGCCAGTGTTGAAGTAGATTCCAAATCACTTCTCACTTAACGGTGTCGAAAGCCTCTCCGAAATCGACGAAGTTGAGGTAAAGGTCTAACTGCCATCCAACATTTTTTTATGATGATGCGTAGAGTTGCAATATGATCAGTACATGAGTACCCGGTGACACACGCTATTTGTTATTAAGCAAACTACAGTGGGTACAATGCTTTTCGAGAAGAATGGAACTTTATTAAATTCGCAAGGCAGATGGGTAGAATTTGAAGTATATCCTGAGGACAATTTCAACTTGCTGCAGTAGAGCTGTCACTTATCTAAACCAGGTTTGAGGGGTACGTGGATATTGGTTCTCTAAATGTAACCAAGATTTGAAAACTGTCTCCAATTTAGAATGAGACAAAACAACGATTGAGTAGGTGCTTATTAACGGTATTAATGAATTACTGACTAAATTAACTGACATGCCATATAGTGGGCAAGAATTCAAGATTGTTCTATCAGGCTGTTATAGACTGTTCAACAAGCTAACTGATAAGGGAGGAAATATATTTCTGTGATGACCACAGTAGGTACACAAGCATGCACAATAAATAGTCATCGCTTGCTACACAGTAAAGATTACTAGAAGAACAGACATAACGAAGCCACAGCTCCTGTTTGACAAGTATTCTGTTGTAGAGTGCTTTGATTCTCCAGAAACCAATGAAAAAACAAAGCTTGTACAAAGACTTGACAGGTGTGAAGTAGAGAGAGAGCAGTATAAAATAAAATCAGTAGTATTTTTGTTTTGGAACTGTATCGCAGTGTCAGACATTAGCATAACGCACAAATAACCAAGAAAATTCTAACAAATAAAGCCAAAAACCCACATAAAACCATAATTTACGTGATGCCTTCAAATTCAGATAGTTTGTGAATGATCTGTAAAATTTTATGGAGAAAAATACACCCACTTACCTTTAAATAACTGAACGAAAAGATCAGGTACACCTTGCGGTATGTGTAATGTGTAATTATACATAGCGATAATGAACAACAATCTAGGCTGTTCCATTGCACGGAACGGTACATCTAACGTAAGTAATTCCCACAGGACAACACCGTAGGACCATATATCAGATTTGAAAGAAAAACCCTCCTATAATAGAATTTAAAAAGTCGCAATCCATCAAATTTAGGAGCAAACATGTTCTTGAGTGAGTTCAGCAAATTTTTACAAACAGAGTTAAGACTCTACGTAAGCCCCAATAAGGTCACAAATGATTCATGCTTCACATAGTATTTAGAGGGCAGTAAAAAGAAAATTAATTCCATAATTAATAGAAGTTATCCGTTCATTTAACATACGAAGACAACACAGTAAATATTTCGTTTGTATAACACTACGAGTAATGAATTAGTGTTTGTTAGATAAACTAACCATATAGGGAACTAATTGAACCTATTTACAGCCAGTCGTCAAAAATACCATCGCTATTATACACACAGTTAATAAGTGAAAACCAGTGTATCTAGGGCGAATAACAAAGGGTCAACGCTAACAAACAACTGGAATTAAGGTGTGGTTTCGCCGGTAAAACGATATTTACTGACATGAACTAAAAGAAATTATTAGAACTACTCTTTTTTATTCAATTATTTCCTCTTCAGTAGATCATCGTCTGTCGTAGTTTTATTCAATATTTTTTCTTTACTTTCAAGTGGGATTTTTTAAGTGTGACAGACTGAATTGATGTATATTTGTATGGTATATTAATTATGTTGTAAATCCAGTAATACAACAAATATGTGTGTTATATATTTTGAAATGATCTGGCCCTATGACTCACTCCCCCCCCCCAGTGGTACTCGTCAGTAAGACATAGCTGTGACTACACAGGAAGTGATATTCTTTCAGAGATTTAAATCCACGCCACATAGTGCTAAAGGCAGAGAGGTAACCACTGTACTGTTAAGGTTCACTTTAAGTACCAATCACCTAACATCAATTCAAAATGGAGATTCATCTAACCTGACAATCACAATAAATCTCTGACTGTGAATTGATGATAAAAGTGTGAGTTATAGAATTCAATCAGTACCATCACCAAAGACTATACCCACACACATTGAATAACTATATATATATATATATATATATATATATATATATATATATATATATATATGAAAATAGACTTACTTGACGACAAACTTCTGGTGCTGCATATGCTACTGTCCCTAATTTTGATTGCTGAGGTGCTAATTGACTAGAACGACAAGCCATTCCAAAATCAGTTATTAACAGTGTACATCCCTGAAGTTCATTTGTTGAAAACGGCCTTTTTATAGGTTCTCTGATAAGAACTTGAGAAAAGAAAAAAACAGTGAATTTACCACATTAATTAAATAAAGATTTTCAAATAACAAAAGGATTTGAGATAAATAAATACCAATCATTTTCTACATGTGGTTTCTATCACAAACCTGTGTCACTAAGAGAATTAATGAAAATCAAGGTGTATTTGGGCAGTTATCTTTTCTTAGTCTGGAAACTCAGTTATTATGAACCAGAGGCCTTTAGTCTGACCTTGTGTTTGAGCACATGTTATCTGTCCTTCATATAGGCGAAGCGGGATTTCAACTCATAACCCATTAGGTGACTATTAATAACTAACTACACGGACGACTCATGTTTTCACATCCAAGAACATTGAAAATATTTATTCGAAGATAAAATCCTTCAGAAATGCCAGTAACAATGTCAGATCTCAAAGTAATTACATCACTATTTAGCAAATGAACCAAGTACGAATCTGTCAATCTTATGCCTTAGTAAACTTTTAATTCACTTAAGTGGGCAGTTACATACATATCCACAGGCGTCTAGTTAAGGTAGCGTTACTGCTTGGAGTTAGTGTGAATATTTTAACGAAGGTGATTATCACAGTGAGGCAAAAGCAAACAACTTTCAATACTGAAAAATATATGAAAATTTGAAAAGGTTTGGTTGAACTTAGAAAAATTTCACCCAGCACACCAATGTTCCAGTGGAAACGTGGCTCATTCGTCTACGCGCCTGACCTTCAACAAGCAGATCACGGGCTCAAAATCAGCTGCACCTACCGAGTTTTGGGCGATCAGATAGTAGCACTACTCCTCACATAATGTGTAGTGCATTACCAACTCCATGGAAGCACAATAGGTTATGGAGTAACACTTCATTTGATTATCATTTCCGATATTTCAGAGACATCTATAGAATTATGAAGATTTTATCTGCATATATTGTATGCTTCAATAATCCTAATCGTTTGTATGAGGATGAAATCCATTAAAAGCCAATGCTCTCTAAGTTGCGATACGATTGCAGTATATCTTAAAGCTGAAAATGTGTACAGTTAATAACTACAATATTGAACAGAATCAATTGTATGTGAATAAACAACTAGTTGTTTCCTTTTAAAAAAGTTTCTTAATTCGATATGGTGAAATATCAGTCTCTTTTTTATTTATCTTAAAATAAATCTTGTAAACTTACTGTTAGAAGACTTCAAATCTCTGTGACAAATTCTGGCGTCCGAGTGTAAATATACCATTCCATTGGCTATTTGTAAAGCCCAATCAAGTAAAATGAGAGGACCAAGTGACGGCCGCTGGCTAAGAACCATACTGAGAGAACCACCATAGGCATATTCCATTACAAGTGCAGGAAAATTAGAGTTATCCAACCTGCAGATTCCATAGAATTTCACAATGTTTCGATGTGATAGTCTACACAGATGTAAAGCTTCATTGTCTACCTGTAAAAATGCAAGTGCATTTTGGAGAATACATAAAAAATTACTCACTCACCGGTTGGAAACATTTTCACTACAAACTGAGTTTCGAAATTTTCCCATTTACTCATAAAAAATATGAACCTTCCCTAATGTGTGTGTGTGTGGAAAAAAATGAACCAAACTACATGTGTTTAGGAAACAAACAAAAAATCTAGTGAATAACTTCCGTGTAATTTTGTTGTTATTGGAATAGGCACACATTGTCTTTGAGGGCTTGTGAAAATACCCCCAGATGACGAGACTCAAGTCGATGGGGTGGAATTATTATAATTTTACAATAACACCTACCATTCACAATTTATTTAATTTCACCACGACAATTTTTTTTAGAAATTTTATCCCTTTGCTTTCCCGTTGGGATATAGGGCTTCAAGCTGGAGCGTTTCTGAAGTTTCGGTAGCAGTGGTGTTTACTTTTATGGGATGAGGTTGCGAGAGTCTTATGTCCAACACCTCCACTCTTTATCAGTCTTAAATACCGGATTGACAAGGTAAAGGAGTGAGTCGGTCGGGGATCGAACCCCGAACCACCTGAGTGGTTGGCGAGCATTCTGCCATTATGTCACCGACACCCAAATGTGGGAGTACTGGGCATCTGTTGAGTCCACTTCAATTAACTATCATGCTGAACAGTATGAAGTACTACATTTAATGTAGCTGAAGACTAGTAGAAAAAAATAACGTACTTTCTCTCATGCATAGCCCTATGGTACTAGAATGAAAATACTAAAAGAAGGAGGAGGGGAGGGTGAGTAAAGCTGATTTAAGGAAACAGTAAAATAATACGGCTAGAAATCACAGGTATACAAACAACTCTAGGCAATCAACAAGTTTCAAGATACTCACGATTTTATTAATTACTAGTGTCAAATCAGAATACTCATGATTTCCTCTTGACACTATACAAATCCTTGAAAACTTAGACATTAATGTCAACCGTTTTATAACTCATTTTATACTCAAGCATCTTTGAAATCTTTTCCATCATCCAATACTAATATCACTACTTGTAAATAATTTTTTCAAAAATTATGTTTTTTAGACCAATTGCTTACAATCTGATAAACACGGACATGCACCAGTAATCACCAACATATTTTCAAGACACTGACTATCTAAACATTTTTTACATACACAGTAAATTCTATAATAGGCAAAATTACCTGACTTGTAGCAAGATCAAACATTTTAAGCGCAATGTCCTGACCACGCCACAGACCCCGATAAACTTTTCCGAATGCACCAGAGCCGATAAACTGTGTGAACAAAAATTAAAGGTTAAATAAATAAGAAACACATAAATTCACTTTGGATAACAAACGTTAAGTATACCTATTTGTCTAGCAGAGAAATACCTGAACAAGCGAAAACAAACCAAGAGTAATATTTACTACAATATGCAGTCAGTTCAACCAGTAAATATGAATGTAAACTTAAATACTGCTAAAATGCAAACTACGGTAATAGAACTGTCAACATTAATGAAAGTGTACATGACTAAAAGGCAGAAAATGAATCAGTATGCTTCCATAAATGCAATTTAGTGTTGAAAATGAAATCCACTTACACTTGCAGACTATTGCATAGTGAAAGCCTAATGTGATGACGGAATTTTTCACTTCTTTCATCAACAATCACATGCACTACTCAGCAACTTTTCACACTTCATGTAATTTTACTGTTTTATTATACCTCGTACATATATTCCATCTTACAAACTTGAAAAAAGCAGGAACAAATATTAAACCAGAATAACACGAATTCGCGTTTTTGCATATTTTTAAAATACGATATTATAAATGACCTAAAATCCGTAATTGGTTCACTATCACCAGTAAAAAAAAAATAAGCGCGACTCAACAATTTTACTTGAAAGCATACACTAGATTACGGGACACTACATGTATGAGGTCATAGGATAATTCTTGGTTATCCAGATTAAAGTTCTTGGGGCTGAAATTAATCCAGAACCTTATTATTATAGGAAAATAGTGTCTAAACAAATACGCCACTTCCAAGAACAAGCGTGTCACGAATAACATGATAAATTAAACAGCCAACTGTCAAAGCATGTACAGGTAGAAGTGCACTTGAAATGCGTTAATTCACTTGAAAAAAGCTTACCATTGAGATTCTGGAAAATTATTGATGAGTAAGTAAATACTATATCAGTGTGTTAAATAGGCTATTTTTGTTTTCATAATAATAGTAAAACATAATTTATAAAACAACACACCTGTTGCTGTACCAACTCAGAAGCAGGAATTGTTTTCACATGACTCTTTCTGAGAACAATATTACCATCAGATGACTGTTTATTTATCGTTGTTTCATCTATGTCTTTCATCTCCATGGCTGAATCTGTATTCTTATCCACTACTATTTCAGCACTACGCTTGATGGGATCACATGAACTAGTATGGATTTTATCCATGTCTGGCAAAGCAACATTTACGACATCTGTATTGGAAACATATCCACTAGGAAAGACACCGACATAACCAGTGTTCGGTTCTTGGCCAACCCACCATCCTTCAGCTCCTGAATGTCGACAGTCTTTGGACAAAAGCTAAGCAAAAATAATAATGTGAAAATTAGGATAGTCCATAAGAAATCTCAATCAGCGAAAAAGTAAAACTATAAAGATATCTGTAACCAAGAAAGTACAACCGATAATAAATGAAAGATAGTCAAAAATGTCATAAATTCAAAAACACATAAATGATACTTCTTTTTTAACTAAAATGTTCATACTAGTTCAAATAAAACCTCGAGAAACTCTGTAATTATCTCTATAAAGGTAATATCTACATTTAAATAAGAAAAGTACATCTACGATACTTTCAGCACGTTAACACGCCTAATATTCAGTTCTTATGCATTGTGAAAAATACTACTTCATTTCCTAATAATTAAAAAACATTCTACACTATACAGATTTCCCATCTGCAATAAGTGGACAGAAATATGAACTACGAAACAGCCACTATATATGACTAGACCTCTCAGAAGCATAAAGTCATTCTTACACGATATACACGAATAAGTCCTAAAAACTACGATAGATGAATATATTTCATGCCATCCAAATACAAATCATTCTAATGCAAAAAAATAGAGTATAGAACGATAAAAACAATGTGTCCCATAGGTGCTGAGCAACTTGATGACTACTTCCCATAAACTCGAGAAAGTAAAAGCTGCCAAGTTCGAAAGAGACCAGAGTACATTTCGACATGATGCCACCTGACAATCACGTCTGCTGCTACATGAATGCTGACAAAAATTCATCAATCATCGACTACTTTTAGTTTTCTCTTATGTGCCCAGTGATAGCGGTTCGAATGAGGTGAAATATCAGTTGCGTGTAACACTGTTAACCTTCTAGTTGCTCCTTATAAGGTTGTAGTGCACCTTTTATTGTTTGGACTCTTGTTTTAACGCATTCGTGTAATATGGCGCCTCGCCATCTTTGTTTTTCTGACATGACTGCTCACAGGTGGCTCGCTCCCTCGTTGTGCTATCAATAAGCGCACTCTACGAGCTTGCTATCCCAGCCAGTCAACAGATAAGTTGTACACTATTCTTCTTTATTAAATTTGACACTTAATGTGGTAAAAATACGATTCTCATCAGGGCACATTACCATGTCACAAGCCTTTTTACTTCGCGTTCGTTAATCGGTACTTACAGGTTAGATAGAATACTGATTAGGGTATGAAGAGGAGAAGTCTTTAATAAGCGTTGTTAATTAAGGTCTACCTTAAACACAACCAGTAACTTACAAGGCAAGTGAAGAGAACGTACACAGCAATTACCCTACACTTTCATATAGATTATTGATGTACTGCAAACAGCCGCTGAGAAACGTGCCCCGAAAATTGTAGAATGACTGCTTCACAAAAGCTTGTATTTTGTAAGCGTCAAAACATAAATAGTAATTTTTTTACCAGATTAGAAGGGGAGAGAGTTGTTTGTATAAGTAGTGATAAATTCTGGTAAAATCGTTAAGTGAAAATGAAAGAAAGTTAACAAGCTTATTGCTAGGATCCTAATAAAAGTAATATGTTATTGACAGATATTGCCACAATATCGGTAACGGAAATAAATGTTGCCTTTAGAGCAAAATATTTTAGTGTCGACTATCCGTCACCATAGCTAATTCTTCACCTTTTCCTCTGGATCCCATCTTCACAACCTTTAAGCACATACCTTAATTTTCTGACCAGTCCGAAGCTTTATTTCGTCAGAATGCTGAGGCATATACGAATATATTGCGGTAACATATTCAGATGATGCTTCACATGGCCTGTCAGGACCGGCAACATCCAGCTTGACACTTGCTAGGATATCATGATCTTCCATATCTTCAGTGGCACTTTGTTGATGTATATCAGGTTTATCTTCTACCATCGTTATACACATAAGGAGTTTCCAGTAGTAAAGCTACGGACTAGTATATCAATCCTAATGGACTGTTGGAAGTCCACTGAGGACTGCTAACTGATGATAAGTAGAGGCGAAAATCCTTGGAAGATTAAACCGAAGAACGTAAATACTTGAACCTAAAACAAGGAATGAAAGCGAATAACTTAGTACACGGAAAACAAAATGAAGTAATAAAATGCAGATAAAATGTTGACCTCCTGAAATTCCCAAATTATATGTGCTATTTTATAAATTACTAGACAGAAAACTTTATTGAAATTAAATTCACACTGGCGATTAGCAAGAAAGGTTATGAGAAGTTGCTTTTCCATTTCGAAACTGCTATTTTTTTTAACAAAACCAGTTACTTAAGCCACCACATAAGAATGCATACATAATTAAGTCACGTTAGTGAAAGTTCAACCTCAGCGGTGAAAACAGTTCTTCGGTTCCAGAAGAATGTCATGTATGCACAAACTGTACCAGTTCACAGTTTCTAAGAATATTTCCGATTTTCGCAGTAAACTACTATCTATCTTCTTACTGGAAAGAATCATATTTGTACCTTACAACGTGAGCATACAGTAAATGATGAAAGGTGTGAAATTTTCTAACAGTTCTTTATCAAATTTTTAAAGTACATAAGGTCACCAAAGGTTTTAGATGCTTGTTGACTGCGGAGTCTACATCATAACAAAAGTTTGTAAAGAACCAACATTCATATGAGTCAGTATACAGAGAAGTCTCACAGTTTGGTGTATTAACTAGTATAAAATGAAAGTATGAATACTAAAAATGACATTGAATGTTAGGAAGCGTTGTGAAAATGTAGAGAACCCTAAGAAAACCAAATTGAGGAGACCAGTTTTCACTTTTGGTACAGAGCTATACATACATACTTTGCAAGATAGTTGCCTCGTTTGACAGGGACACATCTTGTAGTTGATTGTGGAAGCAGTGTTTCCAGATCTTCCCATAGCATTTTATCAACTTAATACAAGCATTCATAAGCGAAAGCTGAGTTGTTAGTTCGAATTCTGATTCAACCTTTTTCACAACAATGTAAATGTGATTCAAAACCTATACGTAGTTTTTGAGTCGTGTTATTCATATCAGCCAATGAGATCCATAACAGTTAGCTTAAGCGACGTAGGAAGGTGTAGACTTCCAGGTTGGGCTCTTCGGCACGGTAAAAACTGATTGCTGGAGACAATCGGTGATATGGCTCAAAGTCGTCCTCAGGGGCGCAGTTGCATCCACTTCTTGTGACTTATAATACTAAATAAAACTATATGGTTCTTCAATATTACTATTCTTTTTGCCTCATATCTCTGTTTAGTGTCTCTGTTTTGCGTTTCTTTTTACTTCTCTTGCTTTGTGTGCTAAGTGGTGTGGTGACTCAAACCACTGCACATCGGTGCAAAGTTCTATGTTGAAACCAGTCAGTTATTCATATCAGTGTAAATACTTCACACCAGTAGAGTGCACTGGTTCTATTGGCGGATTTCTGAACACGACATAACAAATATATTTGAAAACATATAAAAATTCTTTTCTGAAACACCCCACTTGGAAACCTGTACTCTAAAGAGATGTTGAAGTCACCGATTGTTACAAGCATCTTTTAATGTCTCGGTGATATGTGGTAAAAAAATACCATTCTATCATACAGGACGAATAAATGCTTACAGAAACAGTAAACAGAATATGATCATAATTATTAGATAATAGTACTTGTTTGGGGCTTGTGACAATTAGGGATAGAAAGCATCGGCAGTCAATATATTTTTCTTTGGGTATTTTTGCAAATTAAATGTAGATCGATTGTATGCTTAGATTTGCGCCACCTTACAATATATACTCGATCAACCGTGAAGTAGTGACAAAATGCAGGTGAATATTCAAGATCAGTGGAACTTAAAATTCCACTAGACAAACACCTTTAATACGTGTCAACGTTACAAGTATTTCAACATCGAAACTTTTTAGGTAGTAAATCGTGATAATCCAAAAAACAGTTAATTTTTAAACTAGTTTTACACTTTATCACTTAATCAAATGCTACAGTGTTTTGGAAAGTATCTAGATGAGTGCAGTGTATGAGGAATGTTGACTGCCGAAATTCGTTCCACACATTGTTAACTTAAAGAAATGTAATTCATGTTGAAGAAGTACACAGATTGACATACAAATGGAAGTGATTCATGATAATCAATGAGTAAATAAGTTAACTGTTAAGGCAGGTTTATTTAAGTGCTACCAAACCGAGCAGTATCACTAAGTAGCACAAGAAAAGACCTAAATGATGAAATAAAACAGACAGAAGATGCGTTGGTTTCAAATAACTATCCTCTAAAATTTATTAGGAAGTTCAGAAAAGGCCAAAAGCAAAATAAAAATAATTGTGAAACTAGTAATGATAACATAAACAAGAGAGAATATAAGTCATCTACAGTTATACCATATAAAGAGGGAACATCTGAGACCTTACGTAGGATTCTTAATAAAACAGGAATTAGGGTGGTAGCAATTAAACCTACAAACTCAATCAGCGACAAGCTCTGTAAGTTAAAGGATCCTGTCGGTTGACCCAATTAGACAAAATAATATAATTTACAGAATACCCTGCAATGACTGTAACGTCAACTAAATAGGTCAAACTAGCAGGTCGGGGGTAGTCAAATTGTCGGAATATAAGAATTTAGCTAAGGGAAGAATGGTTGACCCAGAGAAGATAAGTAATGTAGAAAAAAGCTCAGCAATTGCACTTCACGGATTAACACACAACCACATAATAGGGTGGGAGAGGATTAAAATTCTAAAAAGTAATCTAGGTAGGTGGAGAGGTTGATTACGGAATTCTTGTTCATCGAGTCTACACCCAAGACATGCAAAAGAAATGACTCAATGCAAATACCAGAAATATGGAAGATATTATTACCACCGGTCAAATCAGAAGAGGATAATAAATAATCTTAAAAATCTATTCAATTCAAACACATCACAACATTCTAACAAGTAACTAAGTAACAAGAAAAACACTCGTCTTATTTCCCAACTGATTGTAATTGATCAATAACACTCATCATTATTTCTGAATGTACATTATCCTATATTGAGTTTTATTTCAATATCTAGTCGATCCCACACATGTATATAAATGACGGAAAATACTACTACCAATCAAATCAAGCGACGTAAAATGATGGAATTATAAAAACGAAGTTGGGAAGCTATGTGAGTACCTTGATGTGATTATGAGCAATAGTTTGTACTCGAAACGTCATCAGTTAATATTACTGTACAACACTGTGTGATTTATCAAAATAAAATCATATCCATAATGGAGTTATACTCTACCACAGTGCCCAAGTTTTATACTTATATCGAGTATATAAGTGGTTAGTGCTTCCTGCCTGTTATTGTAGAATTTAATGTATTTTTGTTAGATCTTAATTATTTGGCGTGGCAACAGAACTCATCGATGAAAAAAGTGTAAGTTTTTACAGAACTATTGTTGTTGCTGTTTAACACCAACATAAATTTCGTGCACTCGGCAATGACCCAATGGATAATAACAATATCAGACTGGTCAAGTGTCAACAGAGAGAGCGCAGAATTCCAATTGTTGACCAAGTTGTTAAAGTCCGCCACCGAAGCCGATGAGCCGCAGTTCCACCGAAGTGCAGCAGGTCGAACTGACATAAAAAATACGTATAAAAAAAGGAACAGGAATATAACAGCAAAATGCACAATATGTGAGAGAGAATAACTGAAAGAACAGTATTATTTTTTATTTTATTCCTCTACGTTCCAAATGGGATATCGGGCTTCAAGCTAGAGTGTTTCTGAGACTGCTAGCCTCATGTCCAACCTTCACTCTTTATCAGTCTTATTACTGGCTTAAGGAAGTAAAGGATCGAACTCCAAACCAGCTGAGTGGTTAGCGAAGATTCCACAACAGTGCCACCAAAGTACGAAAGAAGAGTAGTGATGTCCAAAATCTCGATGACAAAGAGCGAATACATAAACAGTCTCCAGCCGTTTGTGTGTTACATCGAGTGTGGCAACTTTGAGTTGCAGTAATGAAAATGTCACTCAGTTGCCCAGGTTGGAGTAGGTGATGTGTCAATCTAGCCGAGGACCCATTGGCTAGACGTCTAGTGTTTAAACCAAGGATCTCCATCTCCTGCTAACCTACCACGCCACGAAGGTACGCAAGATAGACATACAGGACTAATTCTGGATGTTTATCCATAAGGAAAGAGAAATACGTGTTGCTAGATAAATTTACAGGCACTGGTACCTCTTGACCCTCTGACCTAGACAATGGGATGCTCAAAAATGGCAAGATCAAAGAAGGGTAGAATTATCCACACCCTCACATAATTTTAGTTTTCAATGTGCTAATTAATAACGACTAACTACATCTCTTTTCCAGCGTTTGTTTATACTTTCGTCTGTTGTTCAAATCTATTTTGGATTAATTCCTCTTTTCAAATGCTTTTGTATGTGTTACACACCTTTCAGTTGTCGCTTATCATATTACTGTTATTTTCTTGGTTTCCAGTTGGAACATAGAGCTTCAATAACACATTTCCACTCTGTCTTGTTCTCTGCAATCCCCTTCATCTGACCCCACAATCGCCTATAAGCTTTTAACTCCTCCTTACACGATCTCCTCCATGTCACCCTCAAACCCACACCCAATCCGTTGTTTCCTACAGGAGGGCTTAGCGTGAGATGTCACCGACGGTCTCTTCAGTGACTGTCCGATCCCTCTCCATTTTCTTGTTCATATTTGTTAAGCAATAAATTCTTAGTTGGTTTGTCCTCAGAGTTTTGTGTTGCTAATTCTTTCTAGCCACCTGATCTTCAATATGTAACGAAGAGAGCTGCTGATTAAAGTTAGCAACCTATTAGAAATGCTTTTCGTGACGCGCAGTACAACTTTCTGACCCATAGAGAATAACCAACAACACGTGCTGAAAACCCAA